TTCCATTTATGATGTGAAATAATCGAGAACGTCATCCGATCATGACATTTACTTAACTGACAAATAAAGTGAGTCCTCAGGAACCAATAACGTACTTCACTTCCACTATAAACTCGGTCAAGGAGTTTTGGCTATTTAGTTTTAAATGAGATGTTAAAATTATATAAATTCAAATTCTTAAACATTTTACAAGCAAAAACTTTATTATTTATTTATTCGGGCTATTCTTTAACTATCTCATTCATTTGATACACACTCCGCTCTACTAATATCTCTTCACCATCTCACATATCACATGATGGTATGAGGATGTGATATGTGCGATGAATAAGTTGATGACATTTTTTTAATTTTAGTTTCAAGTTTCTACGCCAATAATTTAAATAAAAACATACATACTACATACATACAAACAACATTTCATTCTAGGTTCTAAGATTAAAAACAATTCACATACGAGGCATCGCCCTGCTGTTATCAGAATTACAAGATTTAAATAATTTCATTATTTTCATTGTTTCATCGTTTTTGTGTTTGCAATTAATGCTAAGACAGTTCGGCACATTTCTCTTTACAGTACAAGGTCAACACTCGATTAATGGCAGCCGATATATATTATCAATTACACAAAGCATGTTTTCACAAAGTATAATATATTTATCATACTATTTCAAGTTACGTTTATTATGTTGCATGTTTTAGACAAAATAATTAATAACATACTTTAACTGTTGTTATTTCAGAACTTTTTATCTTGATCTTGGTGATTTTGTACACATTTTCGATTAATATAAATTTTGAATTATTGTGATCCTACAACAATAAGGTTCTATAAATTGTAACCACTATAATAAAAATAATTACAAATCATCCTGTAGGTTGGCACCAAAGTTAACCTAGCGAGCCGTCACAGTGATTGAAGCCAAAAATTCATCAATAGTGTGCAACAACGTCAATCATTATAGGACCCAGAAATAAAATTCGAAAATATATTATTTACAAGGACTACCAAAAACATTTTTAGTAATAAGCATCAGCTTAGGATCATCTTTAGATTATTGATTACAAATACAGACACTTTTTTTAATAAATCCTTTTGACACTTTTTATATATATATTTTTTTTATGTGAAGCTTGGCAAACAAGCAGACGGCCCACTTGAAAGAAGGTGGCTACCGTTGCCCATGGACATCCGCAGCATCTTTGTTGCGGATGCGTTGCCAACTTTGTTTTTGAGGGATAGGGAGAGGTGGGAATAAGGAAATCATAGGAAAGGGTAGTAATAGGGCAAGGGCAGATATAATAAGATGACGTAGACAAAATTTATATATACAACGGTAATTAGACAATAGTGACAAATCTATTCTGACTATATACAACAGTTTCATTTCAATTCAATTAAAATCTATCTTGTGTGATATTGAACAAGATGGATTATTAATTCGATTTCATTTCTTTGTCTTTTTTATACATTACAAAGTTGCTCATAGTTTTCGGGGCATTAATTCCTAATGATAAATTTAAGTTTTCACAATATTCACTTAAAGTACTCCCAACTTTTTATATTGTGTATAATACTCTGATCAGTAGCGTTGACTTACAGAAAGAAATATAAAAAGCAATAGGATTTTTATTTTATGTTTCAATCAACAACTTCCAAGTAATAGTCCTTTTTCATTCTATTACATAATAAAATACTTTAAATACAGTACATTTTTATAAAAAAAAGTTCATTTAATTTTAAGTTCTGTCTGGCATTATCTTCACCAGCACCCGATTTACTTCATCCCCAATTATTATTATAAAGAAATTATCAACACTTCCTCACTCATACTTAATTAGAAATTAATATAAAAATTTCATAAATTTAATATTTGTTTATGGTATGGTCTTTCCGGTGGTATAAGAAGGATACAGCACTTACACGTTGGAGTGTCACCTCAACCCAGCGATCACGTTGCGACGACAGTGGCAAAGCTATCGCTACTGGCTGTAATATCAACCACGGTCGAGAGTGAACTAAAAACCAAGGCCCTCCGCTTGACCCAAACATGGCATGGAAAAAATTAAGTGTTTCCTTTTGTGCTTCCATTTTTTCAAAGAATCTAACAATACGGAATAAAAGTCGAGATGTAAATCTATACAGTTCGAAAGATCTAGTGAAATAATATTAAAATTGAGACATTTTCAATGACATCATACAAAGGAGATTTGAAATATATTCATAGATATTTCATGATCGCGTATCTTATTTCAATTTAAATTTTATAAACCTTTGTCATATCTAGAAAATAATGCCTTTCTCGAGACATCAAAACTTTGTATAAATAACTATTTCAATTTTAAATACATTTTGGGGTAGGTACGAATTGTAAAATCGATTTTTGATATTGCTTCTACGAATTTTCTTAATTCTCTTGTAATGATACGTACCTATATAAAGAAACGAAAAGTATATATTTTGTAATAAATAAGAACTTATACATATATTTTGTAATAAAGAAGTGATTAGTAATTTGACTGATTAATGACCAAAAAAGATGTAATTATCTTACACTGCACGACCAATCTTAACCAAACGTAGCTTAGAACTCCTCCCAGGAAACTGGCTTTCAGATAAAAAGAAAACACATCAAAATCGGTCAATGCGTTGGAGAGCTACGAAGCCACATACATACACAGGCAGACATCGAGGATAAATATATTACACACCTTCTTTTTGCGTTCGGGGGTTAAAAAGGTCAATATTTTGTGAAAAGTTATAATTTGCGACGTGTCACAACAATATGGCAAGTATAATAACTAACAAATATACATACTTAACATCTAAATTAGATCTAAATTAGATTCAATTATTGACATTATTTTGAATGTTGGAAATTGTATCAAAAAGTTTCATTTGAACGAAATATCTTATTCAACCTCATTTATTAATAAAACCTCTTGATTGATGTCTTTTATATAGCATGTAAGTAAATAAGCTTTGATCTTATTGGATCTTCAGCGTTAATGAAGTGTTAAATTTCATACTATACAAACAAACGTTCAGCAAATGTACAACTCTAGAGGAAGATTCTCTATAGTAAAAGAATTCATAACACACGCAATACGATTCGATAATTTAAAGTTGTCTTATATACGCTTATTTATCTGAGTTTTTTTATGAAAAAAAATACGCTCTTTACTTTTATGAAACAAGGAAGATAAATTTGTAAATATTTTTAATATTTTATCAAATAATAAGTACCTACTATATTAACATTTACTATTCCCCTTGTCCAGTAGCTATTTTTAAAATTTTTACAGGACAGTGGGATGTTGTCCTTTAAATTATAACAAATACATACATATGTATATTAAAAAAGTACGTCTTGTTGAATTTGTTGCTGACGGTTCTGAACAAAACTGCATCGATTCGTCATCAGTTGCCCCAAGGACTGAAGACGACTGACATGTTTGTGTAAGTAATTATTTAAAAATGCTTTTTATTTATTTAGTTTAACACAATGTGGTTTATCTAACGCTATTTGACTTGAAATATGTATTTATATGTGATTACAACAACGGAGACTTTTACAATTAATAAATGTAAATTGATACAGGCAAAAAAAAATTCTAGTTTATTTCATTAAATATTTATTTAAAATTTCCCAGGATTTATTATTTTTATTTCGCTTCCAGTTTAAGCGATCCATTAAAACCATTACAGTTTTTTTATCAGACATGATATGATATCAAGGTAACTAAATTGTTAAAATTTATTTCAACTATAGCTTTTTTTAGAGTGGTACTTAACTTTAGGATGAAAAAAAAACTAGATTTATAAAAATATAGATCCTTCATATTTCTATAGATGGTAAATGGTATAATAATAGTAATAATATAATTTCCTATATCAATGGCAGCTATTTACTGAAAACACTGTTTACTGAAAAAACGGTGTCCATATTTGATTTTTTTAAATTCCAAAGTGATGTAAATGCACCCGTATTTGTTATCATTTGGATAAAATACATTTTTAAGTAGATTATAAAAGGAGTTATAAAATCCTTCCAGCTACAGTTATAGAAACTAAAATAAACTAAATATTAAACTGTAATACATATAAACAGGAAAAAAGGTTTAGACTTGTACTCAATTATGAGAGGCATAAACCATAAGGAATTATGGCAGTATTTTTCAACTTCCCTGGAGGGTACCGATGTCTTTTTCAATGTGTAGCGAAGTCTTTACAGAGGAATTGCAGGAAGTCTGAAAAACTAATACACGAAGAAGATATTAAGTATTTAAAAGTTTGGAAATAATAAATTAACTGAAACAATAATTTGTATCGACGACAATAAAAAAAAACAAACGAGATTTCTGTCACCTTATAGTATTTATTTGTATCAAATTAAGAAAATATAGGAAATGATTTTGTAAAAAAAGATAATTCTCGTCAAACGACGCGAAATAAACGTAATTCTTTAGTGCAAATTTTCTTTTAATTTCTAAATACTTAATATCTTAGTTTTTTACTATTTAAACATATATTTTTTTAAAGGTAATACTAATAACATTAGTTTTAAACCTTTTAAAAATATGTTGATCCAAACCAAAACTAAAACATATTACTAAACCATATGAAAAATGCTGAAATTATATAATTATAGATATATGAAATAATAGATACAATTAAAAAAATGTATTTAGTTGAACATTGTTAATGAACATGAGTAATATCTTCATTAAGAAATTTCAGTCCGACAATTCTAGGTATAATTATAAATAAAATCTTACAAACTGAAGAACTTGTAATCTATTACAAAATCTGGCTGATCTCCATGTTATTCGTCAACTCAGGTAGCTTTAGTAAAAATATCCGTTTGTCATTTAAATCTTAATTGTATCCAGCACATGTTAAGTGTTTGTCAGTTAACAGGTTCTTTACAACATTTTTGTCTCGCTCATGTAAATTAAGAAAATCATTGGCAGAGTAATTAGTCGTAAGGAATTTTAAGATGCATGGTCAGCATATTGACAGAAAATCATTGGCAACCGGTACCACTAACAACATTTACAATAGCGGGGTCGCAGGGAGATATATCGGGTGGCTGTCTGGCCAGGGAACGCCAGCATCAGTTGTATCCGAACTATCAAGCTCTTCACACGTCCACAAATTTTAATTAGGTTCCTGTGATGTGATTTATAAGATTTCATTTTAATGTATCGTGTTTAAAGTGCATTCATTTAGTAATCGAGTGTGTTTTATCCCAGATTGCATCTGACATCATGTGGGATGACGTGGTAGAGGAAGAGGCTCCGAAGCCGGCAGAAGCACCTGCAGAAGTTGCTTCAGATGCCCCGGCCCCTGATGCTGCTGCTGGTGCTGCTGCTGAGGAAGGGGCTAAACCAGAAGAGGCTATTCCACCACAGCCTGAAAATCCTCTAAACGCTGCCGACAAAAGACTTGTTTGCAAACATTGGGTCAGGTAAACTATTATAAAAAGTGTGTGTAATTTTTACTCTTATTGAAGATTATTTTTATGACTAAGTACATTTTATTTTTAAAATATAACAATGTCAAAGTATCTTTATTTTTCTTGTTATAATTGTGGAAATGTATAATTAACTACATTTAATCAGACTCAATACAAAGTAACTTTTCTTAATAAATGTGTAATTTTTATTTTTTCAGACCAAAATTCTTACAATACAACTATATTTACGACTACCAGAGGAATTACTATGATGATCTGATTAGCTACATAGACAAACGTAATCATGGAATACCTGTTGAAAGACCCCAACCCCAGACATGGGGAGAGCGTGCTCTTAGGACATATCTATCAAGAGGATACAGCTACAGCACTAAGAAATACAGCAAAGATACCACGCTCTTGAACCACATCTCTGTCGGTGCCAAGTTCCAACGTGCTCATACTAAGTCCCTTATCTCGAGGAAGTATTCCAAGCTTGGAATTAACTCCGTATACCTATAGCTTGGCTCTAACTTATGCTTGTCGTTGCTACGCGGACTTACCTTCAGGCTCCCGTCATGAACTTAAATGTCAATGTTACAGGATTTCGTTGTCGTGATTCAACCAACACCGCCCTAGCTGATCAGAAAAGTATATATGAGCTGTCCGCATTTCGCATATAATGTCTTCTTTTCATTAATAACGAATAAACGATAAGTTTTAATACTTGCTTTTATTTCCACCCTGCTTGCGTTTTATCTGACTTACGTATTAATCTATTAATATAACCTTATACCTAGAGTCCTGGTCTTGTTAAAGCTTAATAATGCAAAGCGAAATAATATTTCATTTAAGAACAGCGATGCGATATCTGTAGCATCCATTTCAAATTAACATTTAATAGGTTATAACAACACCTATAGTCATTTCAAAATAGGTATGATCAATATTTCTTAGTATTAAAAAAGAATTCATCGTTCTTATAAAGCATCAAAACTATTTTATTTCTACATCTATCGGATAACTTTTTTTGTAAATATTGATTTTTAATAATTGCGATGACAACACTGTCAAAAAATAATAAAATAGAATATTATTGATTTTGTCTGTATATTATTTTATGACGAACAAATAAAACTTTACTGATTCGAATTATAGATCTAAAAATATAAAACATTTGTATTGATAAGTTATAAACAATTGTCATTCAATATTATTATTACATTCAACTATTGAACAGTAAACATATTGAACAAGTTCCATTACATAACACACTTTCTACAATGACGATTAAAACTACATAACATCTTTTAAAATAATACTCTTACATCATAGCTTTTTTAAAAGAATTGAAAATACACTAAACATCTAACACGTCTAAAATCTTTGTTCTTATATCACTTGTGACATGTTGCTCAGAGTTTCAATGTCGTTATATCTAAAATAACTTATCTTTGACAGTTCAGTGAATGTAATCATTTGGAGGCGGGCCAAAATGTTGGAGTACCTATCAGGTAGAGCCGGCAATCAGCCAAATTGAACATAATTAAATGCTACAATGGTCAAGGGAGACTTCGATTAGTGTTCGTAATGTTACAAAAATATGTTTATTGACTCACATCGTAACAAATTTGTTTAGAATCATTAAAATGTTACGTAATAAATGAATCTTGTTCAAAACTACTTTTATTAATTATTTTAATTGAAATGGAGAAATAAGACAAAATAACAACAATAACCTTGTATCACCACAAAATATTGGTGAAGAAATTTGAAATATTATTAAATGGGATAATGATATGACAAGTTATAATTCTTATCACCAATTTCTTTTATTCATAGACAAATGCAACGAAAGATCGTTAACTTTCAAAAAGTTTATTAGGACACACGTCTGTCTATGAAACATCAAGGACAATCTTAGTCACACTGATATTGGCAACCTATCAATAAAAAAATACGTGCTAACACTTCAATAATTAATTTACCAATACGGCTGATTTCTTTCTGCAGCTTTCTTTCGGGGCAGAAACAAAAATAATAACGACTTGTTCGACTTTTCAGTTATTCAATAATTGAAAAATTGTCTTTTGACAGATTAATAAGCAAAAAAATAGTATGACTTAAAAGTATGTGTGAAAGATTTAACACATTTTATTTACTACAGTTTGAAACAGGTAGATTAAAAATATTTCTTGTAATACAAAATTATGTTAAAAAATAATCAAAATCTTCAGATGTTAGGAATTCAAAATTCAATCCAATATAATATTAAATACAGCTAACCTATTAAATCAACATATGCTACAAATAACAAGGTTTTCTTTTTAGGAATATTAACTAAATCTAAGTTGAGAGTAATGAAAACAAAAAGTCAATTCTAAGATAAACGCGGTATATCTATAAAATATGTATATCATAACTTATCAAATATTAGTATAGATAAAACTGTTCTACGATTATTGTATTGTAATTGTTTATTTTACTTATGAACGCACCACTCGTACGCCTACTAGCTTACACCTACACAGTCACGCAGATTATGCACTAGTTTTCATATTTTATCAAAATATACAAATCAAGACAAGAAAAGTAGCACTTCTTTATTTTTACTTATTATTATTGTTTTTGTTTTAGATGTTCCGGTAACTTGACTTAGAATATTTGATCTAACTAACCGACGTCATATTATATAATTGTAAATGAAATTGTGTTGTATCAATAAGGTATACAAAGAAATTAAAGCCAAATTGAAAAGATGGAGCTAAAAGTAACTGTCTGTAATTTGATCCTTATGCAAAACTATTCAACTAATTGAACAAAACTTCCACGTCGACAGACTTGCACATATGTATATTAATGACGAACTTTGATGCTGTTTCTTGGATGTGGTTATGACAAACTAGAACTAAAATACCGTTTATCTTACGAAGGTAATGTTAGTATACTCCGCATAAAGTTTCTCTTATTCATTTCGAAATTTAGGATCATTATGATTACAGCAACACTACAATTTCATACATACAACAATAAAATCGTATGCAGTAATATTATGTGTGTCAGTATAAATATATATCATCATAACCAAAATTTATAGTAATTAAATAAACAAGATTTTAGAGCACAATATAAAAAATCTTGGCACAGAAAGGCGCCAAGATGAACAAACATTAATCAAAAAGGAATGAATGTAACACTGGTTTGTCGATACGCTCAATATAGGAGCCGCAAAACAATACTCTCATACTGTAACATTGTAAAAAAATTTAATTATTATCTATGCAATATATTTATCAATACATACTTATATTTAATATATGCTTGTATTTAATATATAAAGTTAATTTTTATTTTGAATATGGTTACATACACTTTTTTAATCTTTTGCAATAATATACTTTACAAGTTCATTTCAGAATCTATTTGATAAGTATGACCTGAACCCAAACAAATTCTAAAAACTATTTTAACTTTCAAACATAACATTTATTGTAGCTGATTCCTATAAACTCTCCTCACAACGAATGGTTTATATAATTATTATTATTTCCTCATTCTTTGTTTTCATATTGTGTCTATATTTATCTCCAACCCTGTGGAACAATTATCTCCGTCTTAAACTGTTTCGCCAGTTGGGAAGAGTTTAAACCAGTGACATTGATATATTGGTATACATAAACACTATCAACTCAGTGCTGGCACTTTAAAATAATGCATTTGGAGTTTCCTAATATTTGAATTTATTTTTTTCTTAATTGACTAATTTATTACGTTATGACAGCGTATTATTGGATAAAATTTAAAATTTATTTCATATGAAATATTAAATAGCAAATAAATTGTAACTGTAATATTTATATTGCGTATGTAATAAAATATTTTATGTTAGGTTTTAAAGCAATGTTATTCCAATATTCAATATATTTCACTTTTCCAAATAAAATTTTCTTAACTTCTTATTTCCTACTATTTTTATCATTTTTACACATTTGCTCCGTACAGAAAACAAAAAAAACTGATGAGGTCATTGACGGAGAGGAATTTATTGAGAATATTATTGCCGGGGAAGGTAAGTTAAATACTCCAACTAATATTTTATTCACTAAAAGTTTTCAGTATAAAAATTATAAGAAATAAGTAGTACCACTGTCACTATTACTATTCATACTAATACTAATATTAATCATAATAATGTTAATATATAATCAAACGTAAAAAGTTGTCAAATTTATAATAGAGGTGTCTTCTACTCTTCCAATCATTCCAGCAGATTCTTGAAACATAGACTAAAACTTTTTTAGAACCAACGGGGACACCAGAACATTTAGAATTTACCGCTCCATTTAAAATTTGTAAGGGTGGTTGTAATGAAAGCAACTTCGTTATGTCTTTTCCAATTTATGTTGGAAGCAATAAAGGTGGAAAACAGTACAACAAGACCTATCCTCGAGATGTAAACTTGTTTAATAGTGAAGAAAATCCTCCATTCAAGAAGTTTACTACCAGACATCCGTTTACATTATGTCCCGAGAATATTGATTCTTCAGCCAAGATTATTCCCCAAACAATGAAACCAGGTTGTGAAGACAAGGTCAGAATTAAAAATGTCATGTTCAAAGATAGCTTGGAGTTCAAACAGGACAAGCTAAAAACTTTAAGTCAAAAACTCTCGGGGAAGTCGGTTACACAACGAATAAAATTTAAACAAATGCTTAAATCAAGAAATAGAGTATGGCGCCCACTTAGACCTGTTTTCAAATAATGAATTAAATGAAATATAATTCAAACTACTTTCATTTCCGTACATTTTACGAACATTAGTGAAAGCCACTTCTCAAACTTTCTATGAAATAATCTAAAAGAAGTTTTAAGATTGTACTTATTACTCAGACAAGATTGGAATAAAAAATAACTCATAAATTAAATAAGGAAATGGTTATAAAAGAAGCACAGCACGAACTCTGACTGGTCTGCATAAAAATCTATAAAGAAAGTAAATTCAATTCCCTTTACTCTTCCGGTACAAATGGAAAAGGGAAACGAAAGTTTTTTATTTCTCAACAAATCGTTGTAAACAAATATAAAATATTGTGTTTGATGATATAACAAAATAATTTAATTATATACCAAAATAGATTATGTGACCACGTATTCCATAATTCCTTCTATCATTACCTTATTATTTTTAGAGTATAAGTATAGGTATGGCATATTTAAAGTGGCCATACCTAAGAGACAGTATAATATCATCAATCATATATATATATATATATATATATATATATATATATATATATATATATATATATACTAGAAGACCCGGCGAACTTCGTTTCGCCCTATAATCAAGAAATATCTGTTACGTTTTTTTATTTATATTTTTGGAGTTTACCTATTAAAGCCATAAATCTCCGTGTTTTGAAGTGATTAGGAATGATTAATAGTTAATATGAGAGTTACACTGAGCTAGCAAAATAATAATTGTCAACGTTACTACTACACTTGATGCACAAACAATAACGATGGCCGACAACTGTGTAGGGAGTGAGAGAAGTCTAATTGTGTGAGAGAAACAGAAGACCGGCTTCGTTCTCATCCCTACTCCGTGCTGTTTACTGGGTCAGAAGTGACACCTGTAGATATCTGGCGGGGATAACTTATTAAATGACGATTGATCAGTTATCGACCGGAGATGAAAAATGATTAAATTACTAAAATAGCTATTAAAAAATAAGGGTTGATCGTAGAAGGGTGAAAATTTAGGATTGTATGTATTTTTGTACGTTGTATCATAAAAAAATAGTAATTAAAAATTTTGTCTAAAAAATAAAAAATAAAAATTTAGGGGTGGACTACCCCTAACATTTAGGGGGATGAAAAATAGATGTTGGCCGATTCTCATAGCTACCGAATAAGCACAAAAAATTTCATCAAAATCGGTCAGGTTGTTTCGGAGGAGTATGGGCACGAAAACTGTGACACGAGAATTTTATATATTAGATATATGATTTATTACAAATTCATTGTTTTTAAAGAGAGTGACGCCATCATCGCAGACATCACTAATATCACTTCTTTCAGTGCGATTCATATTTTAAAATGAAACTTCAATTGTTCTTTATGCTCCTGTATTTCTCGAAGGTTCTTCATAATAACATACTTCAATGATACGCACTCACTGAATTCTGAATTCTGCCGACGTGCGTCCAGACGTCATATTTATACCAAGATTTAAACAGTTCTATTCTCTTTTTAAACAACCTTTGAATTTGTTTTACTTTGAACAATAATCATAAATACTAATAAGGTTTTATAAGAATTGATGACGGCCTCAAATTATTTTCATGTCGCATCCGTTATTAAAGCTGGTAGCGCCAATATATATATATTCCCGTATCCCCTATATATATATATACCCGTCTTTTGATAAAGAATGAATTACTTAATCACCGGTTAATTGTAACTGAATCAAAGTGAACACGCGACAAGAGTCTCATACCACTACGTACAAATCGAAAAACAGAACATGTTTCATTTATAGGAACTCCCTTTAATATAAATTTATTTCACTGTCCTGTATTGGTCGTTATAGCGACAACAGTAATTCATATTTTCTTAAAACTTCTACTGTCCAACTATCACGGCTTATGTAATACAGCTTGGCGATAGAGGTTCGGACAGCGGAGGCTAAGGAACAGATTTATGTTTTGTGTCATTACTTTAGAAACCCCAAAAATAATTCAGATCATTTGAAATTACCCATCGTAAAAATTATTCACAAACTACTTTTTCTTTTCTCAGATAATATTTATACTAGCTTTAATGAATAACAATAATGTAGAAGGAATTTTTCCTTGGGAGAAATGGTCATGGTCTGCACCACAGGAACCAATTGAATACTTCTTTCGAAGACAGAATAATGAATATATGCGTCTGAAAAGGCCTCAAGTACAATGCGATTGTCTTCTAAATAATGGTAGGTAGTTAGATGAACTAGCATATAAATTATTTGTTTCCCAGCGATTTATATACAGTCCTATAATTTATAAAAACAACATAAAAATACACGTCTTGACAAGTTCATCTAAAAACGTTTTATGGCTGAGTTAAGAAAATAATGATCTCATAATCAGTCTTCCTCATGCAAGCTTAATATACTATTACGACTCTATTGGCTGCGGATACATGTCTTAGTAAAATATATTGACTAATTTCAGAATGCAAATTGGATTACAAATTCAATAGAGATACGATATATTTTCAAAGTATTCGTGGTATTGTAAACTCTGAAACTCTGAAGCAACTCGATGACCAGATGTCCAATAATGATAAAAAAATAAAGTCTAGTCGAAAAACGAGAGACATAGATCCGGGGGACGCAGTCGTCGAAAAAGAGTGCTGTTGTCCTCCAAGGACTATTAAAGTACCTACATTTATATCAAATTCTAGATTTAATGATGTACTTAATAGATTGCGTGGTAAATCTAATGATAATGATACATAACTTTTTCATTTTGGTAGTATACATAAATAAATTTATAGTGAATAAGATTAATTTGTATTTACAATTATAAATATTTCAAAAATAAACATTTTGCCAAAATAAATAAATTTCAATGAATAGAACACTTCATGGTGAGCACACAGAAAATTTTGAACATCAACCTGTTGATAAAACAAAACAATTTATTATTATTTCCTAGGAGTCTCTGCCAATATATTTGAAATAAATCAAACGTCTATACGACAGGGACATATATACTACGTCTAAAAGGTTCAAAACAATATAACACGCTAATCTTCTCTGACAATAAGTAATATGGCCTTGTTTATAAGAATAACAGAATCAGATTAACCCTTCAATTCGATTGAAAGTAATGATAGTAAATTATTATTTTCTAATTATATGACCTAGTATTAATTATTATTGTTTTTAAGGTGAGTTATTACAATCAATTACATTACTAAACTCTTATGGACATTAATTAATACCTCAAATTTGTACATATATTCGTATATTTCTACAATTGTTTACAGAAAATTTAAATTGTTAGTCATCAAATAGAAACCTTATTATACTTTATTAGATTTTTACGACTATGTTATGTTTCACATGTGTAAATTGAATTATTTTGAACCCAGCCATGCGTTGGTTACTAACAATTAATATCACTTTAATCATATTTTCAAGTTCGTTAGTTGAAAGCATTGACAAATTAGACAAAAAAGGTAGGTTTTAAAACAGCTTTTTGTAAATAAATTTATACGATTCCATAACGATATATGTACTCTTTGACTTTTTTATTTCAGAATGCAATACAGACTGTGATAGGCCTCCCATTGTTTTATTACCAGTTTTTATAAAAATCTTTAGGTATCCCAAAAGCAACTTAAGTGAACAGAAAGATAAACCAAACAAATCATAATAAATGTTTTTGATAGCCAGTTTCAATTTTTAATGAAAGCCATATATTTTCTACTTTTTTATATACTAAAATTTTGCAGAATATATAACTTAAAGTATGTAGTGTATGAACATACACTAAAAACTACATGTATTTTATACCTAAAATCATACTAATTCAAAAAATATTAAAATACAATTTGAAACTATGTATAATTTAAAGTAATATGTTATGTCACCTAGGTATTTGTGAAAATATTTCTTCTCCTTATATATTTCTTTATTCACGGCATAAAATATTGTTTTAGTATAAAAAATCAAATAATATGTTTCAGGTAAAACGTGTATAAGATTATTAAGCTCTTATTTGTATTTATAGCATTATCGTAACAGGTAAAGGAAAAAACTAAATCTACGATAGGTTTAAAGTATTCTTAGAGTATTACAACAGAGAGCAGGTGGGTTTTACAAAAGAAATGTGATTTTCTCTGATAAAACATAAAAAACAAAAGTAAAGAAAACTAAACAAACGCTAACAATGCGACTGAAAGATGTTGATGTTTCAGTGATTTCACACGTGGAGTTAAATGTTTCTTAGAAATGGATAGGTACGTAATAAATAATAGCTAAACCAAATATAACTTATTGTTAAATATTTTTGAAGTTAAAAAAGTATGTTATCAATTTAAATCTATGTGTATTCAAATATTCCGTCATTGACAAGACATATCTTTTTGCATTATTTAAAAATATTAAGAATTAGATTTATAAACAAATACATAAATAATTAAATTTGTAATCTGTAAGTAGTTATAAAAAAGATATTGTATTACTTTAATGAAGAACCGATTTTCAGATTGTTTAAAGTTATCTACGGTGCTCTGTTCATTATCTTGTGGATAAACATACTTGGGGTCAGTACATCCATTGCTGGAGTGACATACATGGATGATTTTGACTTTGAAGAACGGTATGAGGATGTCAACGAGTGCAACCCTTTTTATTGGCATCCTTTGCACTTGCCAGAGGAATGCTTCCAAATATTTGAAACTTTAATCAGGTCTAGACTTGCATTTTCCCCATACAGAATTTTTAAACAGAAAGAACAAAGGCAGTTAATTTATCCATACCCATTCATAAATGCACCTCTCATTACACCTGAAGTTTTTGAAGAAGTTCACACGCCACCACCTTCGTCACCCTTAGAAGTATTGTTCAAATTTTTAAGAAAAGATATAATGAATAATCCTAGTGGACCTACCATTCAAACATCTCCTTATTTTGGAACTATCGCAATGTATAAGCAACCCATTTCATACAAAAGTGTAACATTGATTAAAAAACTCGCTCGCTTATATGCTAATGCATTTCCCACGATGCATTTAAAAACTGAAGGAAATATAGAGCATGAAAAAAAAAAAAAAAAAGTGAAATAAATCAGAAAATATAAACTAATGGAAACACAAAACAGACAACTTAAGTAACAACTTAACAATGCGCCAGTTATAAAAGAAGAGAACGTCTTTTCTACATTTATATTTTTATTTTTATAGCAAAATCAAGATTGTAAAATTGATTTCAAGACCGCAATTTTATGATATTTCTCGTTTATTTCTTCAACTTGTTTAACAAATACCGATTGTTTATTTTATTGAAACTGTGCAAAAAAATATATAATAATATATATACAATCTATTTCAGTGCAATAAAAAATTTTAATTTAACACCATATTTATTAATTTTTAGGGATTCTTTAAAAAAAATATTTTTAAGGAGTATTCTTTCTCATTTTCAAGATTTTTAATATATAAATTTTAAGATTCCCTAAAACATCTCTTAGAACTATAATTTTATATTTTTTTCGATAAGACAGGAATATTTAAGTTCCTTAATTAGTTTCTATGTAGATACCGTTCTTTAATAAAATTTTACAACTACAGATTAAGCAGTCATACTTAACTGTCTATACGCCCTGAAATTTCACTTACCTACCTGTAAGTTATTTTAACGAGTAGTTAGTCTCTTGACGTCATTTCGAATTCAACATGGTGGATCCCTAAAGAGTTCAGTATACTTAATCCGAGTTTGCATCGTCAGACTATATACGAAGCATTCCCCGTGTCTCGTTCAAAACGTATCAGAAGATGTGCGAATACTTATGAATAAAAAACTGTTAAAGCACCTACCTGTACCTTTTTTATAAATATTTAGTGACATATAATATCTAATCAATTTAAATGTTTTTATAATATTTTATTCAGTAAACATTAACAATTTGAATCAATAGAATAGTTCATCTTAAATAGTCTATTTCAATTCTATTAGATCAAATGTTTGCAAGTTAGCAGTTTTGTAAGTTTGTATATTGGAGTTAATCTTAGAAACTATACATATTGATCAACCCAGTAAATTAATTGTCGGTTTAAGTTGCAAATAGGTGTGACTTCTGGTGTTTATACCCTAGCGAAGCTTGACAGAATGACGTTAAAACCTTAAAACGTCAATTTACCTACAAAAAATACTTGATGTTTTATTTCATTAACTTGGTAAAGTTGATACTTTGTATAACATTAATAAAAGACCAGACTAAAAAAATGAATTATACAACGCTACGTCTTCACCCAGTTATAATAAGGATTGCATTTTTCTCAATTAATTACCATTGTTACCCTGGGAAAACACTATTGTTAGTCAACGTCTTTGCGACTGTTAATGTTACTTTTTTATGTTCGAAGTTTCATTTTTAACATTTGATTGTTTTTTTATAAGAAAACTAATCAAACACTGTGATTAAGTAATATAATATGAAATCATTCACACACTTAATAAACATAGGTCTATTTTTTCTTCGATTTTTAATTAGCATTGTGTAAACAATCAAAAGAATTGAATAACGTCACATAATCTGTTATTAAATAGTATCACTAAATTTGAGATATTTTAAATTAAGAAAAAATTTTGCACATTTTCTCTTTTCATTGTTCTACGAATACAATAAACGAGATCCTATTGTCCGCTTTAAAAAAATCATTTCATTGTAAAGAGTGTTCCTATATAGTGAGATTCCACAACAGATTCAAAACGTTAGCTATTCCACCATCAACACGTTAAATAGAAATCATAAACAATGTTGTTATTAAATAAGGTAACACATTATTTTATTACTAACATATCCAAATGAAATACTTTTAAAAACAATATTACTTTTTTCAGAACGCTCTATTATTACTATTTGCGAGATCAGTCTTGGGAACCATATCTGGTTTATCATATATGGATACAATAAGATTTAATCCACGAGAAACCAAGCCATCGGAAGATAATCCTTGTAATCCATTATATTGGTTTCCAAGGAATATTCCAGAGTACTGTTATTTCAAACCTCCCGTTATACCTATTACTACTGAAAGTACTCATTCCTCCTGTGCAACTGATAGAATTTTACCACCATTTATTCCATTACCTCCACCTCCAATATATCCTATTCCTCCTATTTTACCACTACCACCTCCAATGGTCCCAGGTCCTCCTGCATTACCAATTTCTCCTCCTATTCCGTACAATATTTTTCAACCTCCCTTGATACCCATGCAGTCACCACAAATGTCTTATGAGCATTTCCAATTACAACCACCTCATTACCCTTATCCAATTCAAGCATCTCAAGCCGGATTCATGCCTGGCTTGCCAGGATTAGTAACGCGAAATGGTGGCATTAATATCATGCCATTCTCTGATGCATATGCTGACATGCTTGAAAAACACAAAAATAAAGTAATACGTAAAAAACTGCAACGAATCATACATAAGTATGAACATTTAACTAACTCGAGAAGAAATTCATAAAAAAGTAAATCTGGGAGAATGAGTATAATTTAAATGTGATTTTCAACACTTCTAATAATTAATAGGGATAAGTAAACCAACATGATAAAATAGTCAAGATATAAATATTCCCAAATATTGTAATAAGATAAGAAATGAGGAAAATATATTTTTATACACAATGTTTAATGATTATTATAATTTTTTGTTTTTAGGATAATATATAATTTTTGCTCTTACATAAAACTGATAAAGTTCCGATTTCATTTATCCTGAGGTGATAAATTTTACCTTTATCGGTATTGTCAATATATGTAGTCACCATCCTAATAATAGCTAAAATGACAGCTGGTAAGGTTTTTCCATGGATTATTATTGTAAGTGTTCTACTATTTTTATTGTACTTACTTTAAGGCCTACTTTCACCATCGTTCAATGTTCCGTGTTTTCTGCAACAAAACCGATGTTGTCGGAAAAAATTCTACATCAGAAAAAGCATAAGTCAACGGCACAGTTTAATATTTGCTGTCACAGCTTAAATCACTAGAGGAAGGAGATTAAAGGCAATGCTCTTGGCAAACCAGCAGCTTCATCTGCACTGGTCCTGGTACCAACTGCAAAAGAGAATTCAATATTTCCCGACCTCTACTGGTATTACCAAACTCATATATACTTCGTTCATCTTTAAGTTTTCTTCACTAATAATTTGCTTCAATAATTTACCTTTCAAAATATCTTATTATATTTTTTATTTTACCATCGTCCAAAAAAAACTTCTTTTTATAATATATACTTCATGTGTGCCATATGTATATTCTTAGCATTTTATTTTATAGTCTGTTTATCCGTTCCTGAACTTTACCGTATACTCTGTCTCTCTCATATATTATATATAAAAGCAGAAATCACTTAACTAATAATTGCAATAGCGAAGGAGCTGAAACTGATTTCACAAAACCTTTTACTGATCGGATAAATCAACTAATACAGTGACACTACTTATTAGAGAAAAAGTCCTACGACTGATCTACCTACATATATTTCATTTCGATCTCACTTTGATAAAATTGTAATTTTATAAAATATTATGATTTTTTTATGTGTTATGAATATTTTGGTGGCGGTAGAAATGATATGGTCAAGTAACCACATCTCGAACATAGGTTGACTCGAACGGGGTAGTACCACCTTTTTACAGAAGATGGGCGTGAAGTTGTTTTTAATGTTTGCGTTTCATCCGATGAGTGAGAGAGCCGGTTGCCCTCTCCCTTTTCAAACTTTTTCTTGTCCTTTTTTTTCCTACCCTTTCTTTTTTCTTATTCTTTCCTCTTCCTCTCGCACAACCAATCGGCTACGCATTTGCAATATTCCTTATGTTGCAGATGTTCATGGTCGATAGAGATTACCTTAAATCAGGTAGGCTGTCTCCTCGTTTGTCGCCTTTGAATTAAAAAAAAAAGAAATTTTTATACTAAATAAAAAAGAAAAGTGTAGAGCTTTACGAACTGCAACGTTTAAAAGTGTCAAATGGATAAAACATTATGTAAGAAATAAAGTTGTTTTGCTTTGAATAAGAAATAATATACAGGATGACTGGTGAATTACTATCGATATTTGAGGACGTTATATTTGACGATCATTTATGACAAAATAAAAATTAATATAACAGAAATATTAATAAACTTCTAAGTAAAGTTAACCAAAAGTTATGTAATTAATTACGCATCGTATGAACACTCTACAGATTAGGTATACACACACACACACACACACACACACACACACACACACACACACACACACACTCGCACGCGGCGGCGTCTTGTTGTATCAGCACGCCGCCGCACGCGTCCACACTTGGAAAACTTGGAACGTGTACACACTTAATTTATTTATACGGAAATTTGGTCAAAAATTAAGTACCTATTTTTTTTACATAATTCGAATGAGAATCATGTACCGAGTATGCTCCTTAAATATTGATAGTAATTCACCAGTCACCCTGTATATTTTTTATTTTTAGAAATAAAAATAGACTCGTTAGAAATACACCGGTAACTGTTTTATTATATTGTGTTTTAATTGTTAAAGTTATGGATATATTTCTTTAAGGTGGAAATATGGAACATAAAATTTTGAAATGTATAAAAATTGTTACAAAAAAACAAAATACTTAAAATAGTAAAAGTTAAAGAAAATACAAATATTTTGGCGGTTTACAAATTTCTAACCGATTTAGTAGAAAACTTACATTAACTTAAAATCTCTGTATTTTTCATAATTTTCGTGATAGCCAATCGTTTGAATTTTTTTATAAAAAAGTGTTGCTTGTAATTGTGAATAGAGGTTTAATCCAATAAAAAATGGTTCAGTTTTAAATATATCTGTTTACTATAGAAAGTGTTAATCTTTAAAGCGCGGAAATATGAACAAAATATTCATTTTCCAGTTAAGTTTCTAATTCATCATTATTTTCATAGGTTTCACAGTTATTTTATTTCTTGCTTTTATTTTCCATTTATGAGTTCTCAAACAGAAAGTGTCACGTAGGCAAATAGCTAAAATAAATAATCTTAAATGATTTCATCCAAATATAAATGATATTTATAAAATATTATTGTTTTTAAATTATAGTTATAGTTATTTACAATATTTCATCAATTTCATTAAAATCATAGAAATAACAATGGTCTCATCACATTCAAAATTTTCTCTTTAAATTTTTACTAATTATATTTCAAACCTTTTCAATTTTTTTATTTGTTTAAAATATAATTTATAGCAATTGACAGTTAGTTTAAGCAATATTACTAAACGAATTTTATCTTATATTCCTATATAGATATGACGAATGTGAGTCAAATTTGCGGTAAACTAGGTATGAACTTCAATTTACATTCATCACCACATAGTCTTACTGTGAAAGTAGCGCTATAATTTTGATTTAAATGAATGTTATTTTAACAACTTTTTTTTTATCGACTTATATTTGAAAATAAGACTCTTAATTGAATAATTATAAATCTAAAAATGTACAAGTAAGATTGGATATAATAAAAAGCAAAGAGAATAGCGTGGCTTTAAGAAGAGGCAAATAAAAGAAACTCGCAAACATAATATTTCTTTTTTTTTGGCTTCATTACGGCCGGTCATTATTAATAAGTGATAAAATGTATTAAGTAAATTTATTGAAATCGAAAATAACAATAACATACCAAAATTGTAACGAGTTATGTCTAAAATCAGCACTCAATAAAAATATGTAATGTAATATTTGTGATATTTATTCATTAAATAACTACTGTGCAAAAACACTGATAAGTACAATTTAATATTCAATCTCGCTACGATGATTCTAGTCTCATCATTAATTACTACTTATACTTAAAAATGTATATATTTTAATTAGCATATAAATTAATGGACGGAATGCCTGAGGGCTTTAAATATACAAACTTACAAATCTTAAAACTTAGCCTAGTTCAATTATAATATTTCTTAAATCCTAAATCCTATGTATAATATTAAATCAAAAACGTCAATGTTCACGATTATTCTAAGTTTACTAAACTACGTTGCACACAGATACATATTAGACATGAAAACTTATTATCTTTCCACGTCAAAGATAGCAAAACTTTAATAAAACTTTTGAAAATACAACGAGAATATCTTTAAGCTTATAATCCTATTTAAGTATCTTATAGCCGCAAAATATTACATTACTTTGTTAATAATAACAATAATAACGAATGTTTTTTTAACATTTCAATCGATGATAGTAACATATAAAGAAGAATCAACTTTTTCAACTTGAAAAAATATTATTATTTAGACTCGACAGGTCGAATAGCTAAAATAACAATCGATGTTAAAATATTTTAATAAAATGAATCATTATGGAATTTTGCACTTACTCCCACTGCTTATCGATTGAAAATGTTTAAAATTTAATCCTAAATCTACACCCGAAAGTATCCATTAATGATTTATATATGCCACTAAACCATAAAGATTTTACTCGAACACCAGAACATACGCCAGTTCTGAATAATCAATCAATCTCTCAAATAGTTATAAAATGATAAATTGCTAGTTTTTATTTTATCCGAAATAGCAGCCACGAATAAAGTTCATTTCAGACAAAACATTTATTCATATTGAATATGTATGAAAATATCTAGTTTTCTTTAACAACTATAGAAAATATTTAATACTCAAAGGTACATACAAGAAACGTTTTATATTTAATACATAATACAGAACGATATCTATAATTCTAAATATTATGAATATTTTATAATTATATAATAACCTATTGGAATGAATCGTATGGACGGCTTATTTAGTTAAAATACTTTTATAGTACTAAGTTACATTATAATCTAGACAATTTATTAAAATATCACTAATTAATAACTTGAACGCAAACTCTATTTAGTTATAGAACTAAGACCTGAGTCTCAAACTAATAGCTCATAAAATCTTTTGAATCTCTGCTCGTAACTGTATTCATCTTTTTATAGTTATTATATATAAATTCACTGAATACAGTCAGACACTTATCAAACAACATTAACAACCACACAGGGAAACATGCTGAACAGCGTTACATAACCAGAGACAAGTCACACATAAAGCATACATATAAAAAGTTATTATTCTTTAACTAATTATATTCTTATCACACATAATTAGCTAAACAATAACCTTTAACGTAACAATACAACTAACAAGACAAAATAAAAGAAACTACCTCAGCCATGCTGTAAATTTATTCCGAGTTTCACTCGATTAAAAGTACCAGATATAATTAAACTCAATTCGATTAATAATGAAAATATTATCTTGAATAAATGTTATTTAATGGTGAGTTTGTAATTTTACAACCAGAAATTCATATGAATACAATTTTATTAACAACATACTCACATGTTACTCGCTGTACGATTTCAAATAAAACATACAATTTTAATTTGCAATTAGCTAGATGGAGTGATGTTGCGCCCGATTAAAATTGCTGGCAATAATACGAACTCAGATATAATTCGTAAATTGAGCGTAAAGGGTGCTCTTAAATGAGCAAGTGTAATTTATTGCTTTACGAATACACGTACGAAAACTAAAACTAGCTATTTCGCTAATACTAAACCATTAATATACATTAAAATATATTTGACTTTTATAACATTATATGAAATTATTCTACACTTAAAGAATCTTAAACTTCTGTATGTTCCGGATTGATATTACATGGGGATCTAATATGCAAGGTCACGCGACGTGTCGGATATTATATATATGGATTTGAATTTCTTTTTCATATTATAATCTATACTCCTTGATTATCATATTTTTAAAAACAAAATATAATAAAGATCAATTCAATTATATTTTAAAATGCATGCATTTCATTATTACATATCCCAGAATTATGATCCTTTTTTGTTGAAAAGAGAAATTTTAGTCATTGATTATATTTTTCTACTTTCAAATAATACAAAAAAATTGGGTCAAAATGGTACGATAGTATAATATTATTGTCAATTCTTGGCTAAAATAGAAGTTATTGTTCAATAACTTCTTTTACTATTGACTCATCAACGGATATGCATTTCTAATCACTAATTATGAAAATGGTGTTAAATTATCTGTAGGTAACTTACTACCTAATTGATACTAGTTTGTGATGTATTGAACTGTGATGATCGGCAATTTAGTTAATGAATCGTCGAAATTGCTCAATTTTGTAGACAGATTCTCTGAATGTTCGTTAAATAGATTAAATTAAAAAATTGGTTTTTCTATATGAGAATTGTGGTAACGAAAACAATAAAATTTAGTCGTTAAAGTATTCATGTAAAAGTTCCTTTGAAATAATGAAAAGTAGTTCGAGATTTACTGGAATTAAAAAGTTTTCGATTCGTTTATCTTTTAGAAAGATATGGTAAACGTATTTTCTAATATAATTCTCTCAGAACCTATGACTAGTTGCTTGTTCTGGTGGTGTGACATTCATGCCCATGTTGTCATAAGAGAAATCAAGAGTAGTATCTTCAGCAGGATGTCTATTGCTAATAGCAGTGCTAATCGTCTTCGGTGTGGTTGCTCCTTGACTTTTATCAGTCTGTGTTCTAGCGTCTAAATCTCTGGCATTGAGTGGTTGTGGGTTTCGCTTCGGGGGTTCCGGATTTCTTATCTCAAGCTTCAGTTCAGGCTTCGGTTTTGGCATTTCGGCGTGGGGATTATGATGAGTTAGATCGGTTGGATAATGCTTCACACGATTCTGAAAATATGTTTGTATTTAATTAATTGATTCCCTGGGATATATTCTAACAATCACATTTCTCCTTTTTCCCTTTTACCTAAAGACTAGGTAGTTCATGAATATTATACCTTCGAAGGCTGCAATTTTTTCATGATGTATTGCCACGAGACTTTGCCACGACACACGATGATAAGAATGAGTATCAACACAGCGAGGGCGACAATACTCACAATCAGTGCTGTCTGAGCTTGACGCTGAACACCTTAAACGTAACAATAATTTATAATATATAAACATAATTCCTGTGTTTAACAGCAAGATTACATTTTAATATATGCTTTATACATTACATATTCGCTATTTAGCATCATATCTACCATTGATCTACATATATGATATGAGATTTATAAGGCTACATATATGTATATAATAATAAAACAATTTCGCTTGAGCCACTATATACTTTATAAAATTTATATTTTATATATTAATTCGCTCATTTTTATCAACATGATTTTTAATTATCCCATTTAGCTCTTAATGCCTTCTGATGTTTGACGTAACGGATTTCGAAAGTCAGGAGATAAGCTCCTGTTATAAAATGAATGTAGCATGCGATTAATTTATGAGTATATAATCAACCGAAACAGAATTGGAAATTATACCATTTTTAGTCACTCATTAATAATGAGAATCATAATTTCGCCGTGCTTATAATAATTAAACCTGTTGTGCTCAAAACTTTAAATTGCATCATTTTCAATCTTTAAACAAAATCTCGCTCTGCATCTTTACATTTTTATTGATTTCAATAAAATAATATAAATAAATAGCATATTCTATTATAAAGTTGTTTGGCGAAATAGAATGCAAGGCTCCACCGATTTGAATGATTAGAACATTTTTATAGGTATTAAAAAAGCAGTTAACTAATGTTTTTACTTACTAGTAATATTGGATGGAGGATCGGCATATTCAGACCTTCGCATGTACCTCAAGTCCAAAAGGTAACCTAAAAAATAATAATTGAAATCATTAAAATAAATAACTTATTATACATAAACATAAATTATGGATATTTAATATTGTATCATCCAAAAATTATTTCTAAATAAATTCTTCGCTTATAAAACATTACAAAGGACACATCCATAAATTGTGTATGTCGAGTGTCAGAACGTGAATATGAAACCATAACGTATTTGTCCATCTCAATAGCCATGCTCTACGAATATGAACGTTCAAGACCAACAACTTTTGACTTGGACATGCGATTAATTATTTTTAGATATAAACTTACGATTCACTATCCATTTCTATCAACATTAATTGACTTGATATAATCTTTTAATATAATATTTATTGTAATCACTCTGTTAAGCCATCACAGTTAAATATGAATTTAAATATCTTATAATTAATTGGTTGTCAATACATACATATCTTTTACTTCCAATAACTATATTTTTTTAAGTCTATAAAAACTCAATCCTCTATAAAGCAATTTTCGTCTAACTCCATGCCATCCGGTATAAAATTAAAATAGGTAGGTGTAATTCAATTTGCAGATTTTTCTTTTAAAAAATACCGTTGCATTTTATCTAGATGTTATTTTTACTAAATAAATCTCGAACTTCCGGCAACAATGTTTATTCAATTATATTTTCTATTCGATTTTACAGTAAAGTGACGGATAAAAAGGCCTTTTAAAAGATAAATTTATTGCAAGGGACATATTCAACTTAAAAATATGGCGTGTAAACATTTGTAAGATTGGTGCGGCGTGATACCTTCATGACAGGTAATGGGACAGGTGCTTACCTTCTACATTGACAAATACTATCTTTCCGTCTCTCTCCCATAAACACGTGTTTGAACATGCGTAAATAAAAACGAATATTACTTGGCTTAACTATCAGTGGTTTAACAGACAAATTGCTTTTAGTTGCAACATAGATTTAACGAGTTTTAAAAAATAAAACTTGGATATATGAAAGGCTTAAAAAATGTTATTAACGTTGTTTACATGCGATCCCTTTGAGAGAATATTTTTGAGGTTTATAAAAAAACTTTACACATGCAAATAACGCTTTCAAGTAAATAATACTTTTAAATTCTGTAGATTTTCAATAGGTCTGTCTAGACTGCAGTCTAAGTAATAATTTGCATCATTTATTTAACACCGATAGTTTAATAAGTCATGTTATGTCTGTCGGCAGTTACTTGTAAGGTGAAAACTCATACTAAGAACATTGTAAACTATACTCAACCCTTCATTTCATCATTAAATGTAGAGATTAATATAAAACGTTCTACTTTTGTAATAACATTTAAAATAAACCTCTACTTTAAAAGGTTTCATAATAATTACCAACTGTTTAATATTGCAATAAAGACTGTGAAATGTAAGCATGATTATTCTTTAAGATTCTTGTATACATGACTGATCTATAGATAATAATTCGTCGCAAGTGAACTGCATCGTTCAGTACAATGTATCCAACAGACCTGCCCCATTGTACACACAAGGGGCTACACATTGTAAGAGAATGCTAATGTGTGCGTGGTACCTGTCCGAGTCAGCAGACCATAACTTTATGCACAGAAATACCAATGACCGATAAAATATTTTGTTATTTTCTCAATCGAAACATGGCTTTGGTTACGGTTAAAACAATCATTTTTATATAATATTTTAATAGATAAGGATTTATATCTTTCAATTTTATGCGTAATTTATTATAAATTGAAATATTTTTCCTTTTATTTAAACAGCAAAAAATAAAAGAAGAAAAAAGGAAACGCTTTGCTTTAAATTCTTATTACATTGACATATTCATTTTATGTTTATTTAATTTATACTATCTGTAATATTTAGAAAATTACAATAAAGCTGTAATAACTGTTGTAATAATGAAGTTGAACTTTATTTTTTGTATATTCAAATAGCAATTCCAATCATGTTAAATTAAATCATTATATAGTCGTATTAACAATGAAGCGATCAACAAATATCGAATATGACTGGGACTCGGCCGTGATGGACTTTAAATGTATTAAATTATGTCAATAATTTCCCTATTCATTGCGGATACGCATTTGATGTGCTTAAATTTATGAAGAATAAAAATGTTCATGTTCAATTTTTATTCATTTTTAGAACCTAAAGTCAGTTAAATAGAAAATACGATGAAACTTCTTATTTATGTTTTATACACCTAAACCCATATACATACATATATGTTGTCGAACTATCACTAAATTTATAAAGTGTACATTTATAGCAAAATAAATATTCAGAAAATTCAAAATGTCATAATATATTATAATGTATATAATTTTAAATGAAAGTTCTCAACTTCATGCAAAAATGCTATTCGTTGTTTGAACTGAAACTTGCATTCTTTAACAAATGTGTGAGTGAGATATTGGAGTGGGCGAGAGACGGTGGCGGCTTGTGGTCATGAAACTGGTTGTTTAAACTTGATATCAAGTGATAAGTGACTTTATGACTTTGACGATTAGGTTCAAAATAGGTTTATCAACTACGAAGGCCCCTATTATTATTTTATGTACGAATATTAGTCATCGCCATAACATATCCATCCCGAGTTGAGAATTTCCACTCTGTGGAATTTCAGTTTGAAAGTTTTATATTTTATTTATTTTAGAATTGTAAAAAAAAATCAACTATTATATCACCTGAAAATTTTTGGTTGGACTTGTTAGAATAAAAATTGGAAATATGACGTGATCATTCGACCAACACAAAAATTGTTATACATATATATGTTCATTAAATATGAAATTATTTTGAAACATACCTTGGCACTCCTTGATACAGAGGCCAGAGTCGTAGTTGTGATGGGTATTGTTACAGACGATGCTGCAGGGAGCACATCTGTTAGTCTCTGGGGAGCAGTACTCCTCCAACGTGCAGGTCAGCTGACCACACCTGATACCGTCGATTGTCAACTGTGATGACGCCAAGCTCATCGAAGCCAAGAAGCAAGCGAGTCGAAACATTTTCGTGACTGGAAAAAAATGTATATTATAATTTTTAATTGAACATAGGTACATTAATTTATGCTTAATGTTATAATAATGTCGTTTGTAGATGATTCATATACAATGATAATAAAATATCAACGAATATAGAAATATTACCTCTCCAAAAAAAACTGTAATATGAATGAATCTTACAATTATCATCTTTAACGGTGAAAAAATATTTAAATTGGTTAAGCTTCTTTGATTTAATAAGAAAAAATATTATTAGTATTCAAATATATTTCCTGCAGTGTAGTCAACAAACGTTATTAGGTATATTGCCTCCGATAAAACATTGGGATCTATTTTGATTAAAATTCTCTCAATATATACTGTTAACATTATTGCTGTTTGCTTTTCCTGTCAAACGCCAGCTACAAATAACGTTTACAAAGGTTACTCAAAATCGGTTTTACAAAGAAAATGATTGAAAATGACTATCGGACAGGTTAAGCCTTTTGACAAATATTTAAACATGGAACGTTACTGTTTCACTCTTTATATGCACGAACGGCTGTTTCACTCATGACAGGCTTAATTTAAAAACATGGTCCTTATGTATTGTTCGGTATATACGTAACAATAAAACATTTCTGGGAATATACCTGCTCTACCTGAGTTCCCGTTAAATAGCTTGTAGTAAAATGTTGTTCGGAAATCTCTCTTTAAATATTAAACAGTATGAGTCATAGCTCACCACAGTGACCGGTTTGAACGCAAACAAATAACGAAGTTTCTTTACGTGCTACTCTACCTGCTGATGTTAATAATTATTATTTTTAAAACCCATTCTCTTTAAATACGGCGTACAAATATGTCACAAATTAATATTAATTTGTTATATTTTATTGATATTTATTTTTAATACACTACATATATTCATAATAACAACAAACTGACAAGAAAAAATTACATACAGAATAATGTTGTAATAGTATGAAATAACTTTTAAAAATGAAATTTATTTAATCCTTCTTAAGAAATAAATATATTTATACGCACCAGTTTAGCCAAAGCCTTCAAATAATCTATATTAACTAATAAACTTCTGATATGACTTCATGACACACTTTCAATAATTCACCTCAAGGAGGAAACATTGAATTCAACATGACATTTCTTGTATTATTCATGTTAAAATTAAGATATATGCAGAAGCATGACGCGAAGCAGGGCACAGTTTTCACTATGGTTGCTAGGTAACGAAAAATAGTGAATCGAACACTACTCCTACTCCTTGCGTACCGCCTAGTATGTGGAGTATATTCATTATTTTCAAATAATCTAAATAGTTAAAAAATTCAATAAACTAGTAGTTTATTTAAAACATAAATAAAGTAAATAATACAAAACATAATATTCTAAATGTCATTTAATTACTTTAGCATCTTCTATGTCAGTGAGTCATATTTGATTTGTAAAATATATATCGCTATATCAACGAATTAAACTTCGTAAATCAAGAGGCACATATTTTACTAGATGAATTGTAACTAATTTCAATAAAATTAAATGAAGCAACATTATAAAAATTAAAATTAATCATATAATATTTTCTTAAACGTGACAAGCAAGGCATACCATGAACTAACCGCTCGCTCACCTTGAATTGTTGTCGAAGCCTCACGTATCATTAGATATATGTCCATGTTATAAGGATATTAAAAGGTTAAATATATATTATCAGTTAATAGTATTTTCTTTAAAATTTTATTATTATTATTATTATAATTTTAAATTATTATCCATCGTAATTTTGGATTGCAAATATTTAAACGGTAATTCATGATAATTATGGTTACCTTTCTATACGAAGGTAAAAACATACTCGTAGATGGCAATGTCATCGTTACGACTTTAATGAATAGAATATTTATATCGTATCTACCGTTTCTACAATACCTAATGTGGCTTCCCTCAACATACGAGTATACTTATTAAGGTAAGATAGAAAAGGTTTAATCATAAATGCCACTTCAGTTAGGAAACCTGAAAATTTATTCAGGAAGTTTTTAAAACCAGTACAGTACAGCGAAAATTTCATTATAATATAAATTTTTGTATACAACATGTTATTTTATGAAATTACAAAAACATCTGAAATCAATGTTATTTGTTCAAAAAAATCAGAGAAACAAATATATGTATATCAAAATATAGCTTTGTAAAAAACACACAAAAAACATTTCCTTTTGAGAAAAATAAAAGTAAAATAAGACTTATCGTAACCTTTTTAAAGTAGACGAGGTATGTGAAAGTTTTTATCACAATCTGTTAAAAAGTTTTCTTTTCATATTATTTCTGGCAACCTTATCGTTTGTTTCCAGTGTAGTTTTGAACAGATATGTGTATAATGTTATGTCATGGATTCAAAAATAAAACGGTAAGATTTTTCAGTTTTTTTTTTCATACAATTGTATCTTACAACCCTCACTAACTTACGTGCAATCACTTACAATGTGTAAAATAAGTAATGGTATCGTATTGTTAAACTAATCAGTCTAAAGAATTTTATTGTGCTGGCCTCATTTTGTAATCTAAATATATTATATTATACGAATATACAATTTTATTTCTTCTACTTTTTATGCAACTATAAAATTATTCTTTGTTTTCTCACTAAAGATTCCCTTTTATATTTCAAAAGTTTAAACGAATAATATGTCATGAGACTCATTTTACAAAGTCAATGATTCTGGAGTTACTGTCATATACATATACATATAAACGATGTACAATTTTTCGTAATCGAGTAAGTAGTCTTTGTAGTTGAGAGTCAATGTGTTAACATGTTTGCATTTAAATATACACACAACATACAGGTTAATAAATGAACCGCCGTCATCCGGCTCTTGCCGTAGGCTATTAAATATTTGCAAAATATTTGCACGGTCTGACAATTATTGCTTATAAATACTTCGTTTTCTGTTAAATAAATATGAATCCCATATTATTTCACTTTTTATTAAACAGAATCTTGGTCAAAGGGTCAATAGAACATATTCGATGTATTTCGTTGAATGAGAGAGCTTGTTTGCCGTGCAAAACTAACAGCTCAAATTCAATTCTATTTTCACAGAGAAGGTGTCTAGTTTCATAATCTTTAAACATGTGAAACCAGTAATAACTTTAGCTTACAATGGTTTTCACTCCATCTCTATATTCTGGCTTTGTTTAAAGCACGGGCGTAACAAAACATTCCCTTTAGGCAATATCGATTTTGATTTACTAATCCATTAGAATATCTAACGTGGTGCAATCTTCAAACGTGTATTTGCTTTAACATTGTTACTATAAAGCCTTATTGTGAACAGATGGAATACGAAACAGGTAGTATTGGATTTAAATACACAACAGTACGTATAGTTTTTTGATATAAAACAAATATAAATTTTAACTAATACTAGACCATCATTTTCAAATAAAAAATAATATTTTAAAAACAAATTATTGTAAATTGAAAGTGGCATGACATCTAAGCAATAGGAAAGCCATCGCCAAATACAAAGGTGCGAGGAATAACAATGGTGTATTTATTGTTTTCATCTCATTTGTATGCAAGACGTTTTTTCTCTTGGTGAATCTGTGTTATACAAAGTCATATGAAGCTTGTATTTTAATTAGCCGTCTGTATGACTAATACCGACGTCCTCAAACTTTACCTTAAGTAATATTAATTTGTTTTATATGGATATGGAGTTCTACTTAATCAAATAATTCTCGGATTACTTTTAATCCAAAGTATAGGAATTGCTATATAGAATTATAGAAGTAAAAATATTTCTTATGTCTTTGAATATAGTTTCAAATGTTTTGAAACATTTCTGTTTATTTCATAATGAAGACTTTATTTCTAAACATAAATATTCAGCATTTAATCTTTATTTTATAGGAGGAAAATGCAGTTGAGCTGTCATATGTTTAAAAGCTTGAAGAACGGATATGATCGACGAATAAGGTTCTAGGCCGGATATTACACTGAGCTCTATTAAAAGCTATTTGATCACCTGCTTCATGAACAAATACCTTATAATAGACTTTCGTCTTTTATGTTGCTCTTTAGCATCTAGTGATTAATTAAAAATACTCGATAAAACAAAGCTCTTTATCTGCAACTGGCAGCCTTTATCCTAGTTAACATTTTAAACGTTAATATTGAAGAAAATTGCAGGTAAATTAAAATCTTTTGCTACCAAGTCTCCTGTCACGTACAAACTTAATAAAATTATTATTATAGCAAGCATGCAAAAAGCTCACCATTTATAACTTATCATTTTAAGTATAACACATTTTCTTGTTATAAATTATCTAAGAAATTCTCTAAAACAACGTGGTCCGTTAATTGAAATATAAAAATATTTGTCACCATTTAATGACATGTAACTTACTTCGCAATTTCACAACATCTTTTGTGATGTCTAATTAAAGGTAATCTGCAAATAGTTCTTAATAATTTTTTTTGCTAATTGTCAAAGAAAATTTCTTCGTTATTTTTTATAAATACTTTAATTTTTATACATATAGTTACTCAGAAACAATAACATATAATATTCATTAATGGTCGTAGAACTTTTATAAATAAATTAGTACCTTGGGTATAAATAGTACATAAAGTTTAAAGGGAGTTGACTATCTAACAATAAGAAACTTTAAAATATTCCAACATAAGTTGTTGTTCGTTGTTTAGCTTCGCTGCTTATTCTTGTTATTATTTTATATCGGTTTAAACAAAAGTTTCATTTTATAACAACAAAAAGCAGGAAGAAATAAGTTACATAATAATTAATATGACTATAATAATAATGATTATAGAAGTAATAGTGATAATAATTATGAAAATAATAATATTTGTTTAAAATAATAATAATAATGAAAGTAATGATGTTTAGCAAACATCCATATGATGATTATAAAAATTACTAAAATTTACATTTTTGATATGCAATTTTGTGAAATCGTTTAAAAAATAGTTAATTATTTATTCTTATGAGTTGACACCTGTTTACTTTATGAGACTGTCTACGCAGCTCTTCTTTAAAACTGTTTTTATCAGAGAATACGTCTTATCTACTTTCCGCTCGTTAAGAACGGCTCGTCATTAATGTGAAGGAACAGGTGCTTACCTAATGGTTGGAGGTCTTTTCGTGTTAGCTTAACACATTTATTAATGTAACATACACATTTTTAAATAGTCATTAAAGTTTTACGTGTTTAAGTAAATATAACTCTACATTTATTTTAAAATGTACTTTAATTTATGATTGTATTTTAATACTGTTATTATAATATTATTAAGTAGAAATAGCATATGTACCTATATTCTACATAAGTAAAGTAATTCGCATCGCCATGAAGCGTCTATCAACTTTAACTGACAGCTTTTTATGGATGTTTAATAAACAATGTTCGTACCGTTCTCATTGTAGCATTAATGAGCAAACATGAGTACAAATAACACTGAGATACTTCAACAATTATGTTTTCAAACGGAACAGTGAATACGTCTGACAATGGCAATGATTTTTTTATATCGTTTAATTTTTTGTTATATATTTATAATAGAACCTTGTAATATTATTGAGGGAAATATGTATATAGATTTGTAAAGATTGATAGTATAATAATAAATTAAGTCTCACCTCATTAACGTATTCAGTTTTTATTACGCTACAGGTATTAGCTAATTCAAATAATTACGTAATTACTTCTCCTTCAAATGTTTTTGTGTTTCGTGTAAAATGTATTCTAGAATTAAAAATGTCCGTTCATATATCTACTTATGAGGAAATTATAATAAAACAATAAGTGTTCATTGTTCCCAACGAAAGCTATCCACATGTTCAGAATGAAAGATGCATAATTTCATACAGATTTACAAAGAACTCTCTTACTTTACACATTTCAAAAATGTTACCCACGCTCTGCGGTAAAGAGATTATACATACTTTTACTGGAGCATAATAAAATTTAAAGACTTATATTTAGAATATAAACGATATACGACCTAATCTTAAAACTTTCACTCGTATATATTTAAAGAATTATTGAGTGATTATAACATAATATAACGCCACACAGAATATAACTTCAATGGCTTAAGTCGCCGTTACTAGTTTTCTTGAGAAAACAATATTATGACTCATTATTATAAAACGCTTGAAAAACATTTGAGATCACAGGTTTATTTTGGAAGTAAGTTACGTAAATATGTACTTAATATACATATAAAAGAATAACATAAAACCATATAATGTATGTCATAAGTACATATTTTTTTATTACCAAGTGTCTCATGAACATTTCCATCTACAGCGATAATTAAATTTCCAGACACGTTTTATACAGCGTCATTAAGTACGACCGTGAAAATAGAAACGGTGATAAGAAAAGACTTAAAATAATAAAAATCTATTGCATAGCGTTATTTATAATAAAATTACTTACCCTATGCAATTTTCATTTTTTTCCTTTGAACTTAACACACTTGGATACACTACCAACTTTCTAAAGCGACTTCTAAAAACTGTTTCGAAGCCTTCACAGGCTCAACGGCCAATCGTGAACGTGGGTGACGGAATGCGACTCTTGCGCAGGTAGCGCCGTGTCGCTGTTTACCTGTGTGCGTGAGTCAATGTAATTATTTACACTGTATCAACGGAGTTTCAAACAAGTGTGAGTATCAACAGATCTACAGTTCGACGAAACATCATAGTTATTAAATACTACTAGTTATTTTTTTAAAAGCTACATATATTGTTTGATCTTTTATTTACTATAGAGTTATTTAATTTTACCGAATCATCTACGTATTTAAAATGCATGTCAACGAAGTAAAAATATACTGAATAAAGATTAAAAACCAATTAATAAAATAAAGATAGTGAGCATAATGAATCGTTTGAAAACGTGACAGAATATTAATAAAAAAACTACAACGCTGAAGGTAATTTATTGGTAAAATGATTGCTTCGTACAATTAGTTGTGACCATAATATATATCAAACAACTCGGAAAACAAAGCTAGTAGTCGTTATGAAGAAAAACTCCAACTAATGGAATAAGAGTAACTAGAAAATAAAAGGTTAAGAATTCAATATACGATCATCTTATTTCAGAAAATATCATCTACAGTATATTTAATTGTCAGTTCAATAAAAAAATCAATGAATTTGGTCTTCTACAGTATTAAAACATAACGAATAATAATTGGGGATTTAAATAAAATGCATATTTAAAGAAATTAAATATATTTTTGTTTTTCCTAAATATGTAGTATATTTTGTCACTACTCAAATCGCATAAAATTTTTGTAAGACGATTCGTCATTACAAATTACAATAACATCTATAAAATATACACTATTTTGAACCACATACTATTAAAATTCGCATATCATAACAAAATTCACATATACATGATTAATGAGTAAATTTTTTTTTTTTATTTATAGTCCATCTAAAATATTGTATCTGTATTTATATGTATGTAAAATATTTATATAATAATATATTTATCTCATTGGTCCAACAAAGACAGTAGATCATTCACAAGAATGTCTTCAAACATATGTATAACATTAACACATTAGATAGTTTATTTATGTAAGATAATATCTTAATATGGACTGATTTTAAAACAAGCAAATATATACTTTTGAGCTCAGTACATTTTGATGACAAGGCAATCGATGACAATATCTATTATCTAACTAACATCCTAACTACATACAAATATATTCTAAGCGTAAATTTACTTTATTAAATTCTCTGACACCACAGCTTTATAAACAAAAAATAAACACATGAAAAACCACATGAAACACTACAATAGTGACTATTAAAACATACATTAACTTAGTACAATATAAAAAAGGTATGTATTTTAAAACATAGTAACAGAGAAATAAAAAAAAAATGGTAAATCGTGTTTTATATCTTATTATAATGGAATCTGCATTTTCTATGATTATGATTTATAAACATAGTTCTCATTATTAAATTAAATCAGAAGCATCTTATAAACTTAAAATATTAAATAGTTCATATCACATCACACATGTTCAAACCATCAAATGTATTACTAACGTACTACGTATTTAATAAAATGGAGACAAAAATTAAGAATAATTAAAAATTATAGATAATTAAAATTATGTTAACAATTTTGATCAAATATTCGATGCGAAATTTGTATCGCCCGTTTTGTTACAACTGTTTTAATTTGTAGACTGTGCATGAATGTTGTGCACTAGGATTTTTTATTTTTATTACAGGCGAGAACACATTCCTGGCATGCTCTAGCCCATAATCGTAATACTAAGAATCTGATGTACCGGCAACGTTCTCTGGAGGTGGTAGAGGAGCGTCCTCTTCATATATCATCACTAATTTGCTGTATTCCCGCTTCCTACGACGTATCTAAAAATAATATCAATGTTTAATAATAAATCCAAATTTACAATTTGTTTTTTATCGTCTAGTTGAATTGTCTATGGATAACGCTTTGTTTTATTTTGTCCAGTAAATAGTACATGATGCCTTTGATAGATGGCGTTGCAACGAATCATATTAAAGGAGCCAACTAAAATTGATAATGTAATAAAAATAACAGTTGAAACTAAGTATTTATTTTGAGATTAATATTTATCACTACATAAATAATTATTTAGGATACTGATCGTAATAATTTTCAGCTGTGAAAAGGATTGAATTTGTACTGAATTGTATTTAACTGTACTGATTATCAAATAATAAATAGAAACTAATTTAAAACTTAACACCTATCGTAGATAATGTGGATAAAAATTCGGGCTTTTTTGTAAGTAATGCAGGTAAAGTTATGAATATAAAAGATTGAGGTCTATATTTCAATTAGGGATCAAGACAGGGGCATCCACTAAATAGTTGTATCATTAAAGAAGTAAGTATATTTAAATATTTAGTTAGTTATATCCCGAGTATAAAATAAACTAAGTGCATTTGGACGGAAATCTAGAATTTAAAAAATTAAATAGAATGTCAGACAAGTCACATAAGAACAATGAAACCCTCATAAGTCATGTCTTCAATTTATTTGTAAAAAGAGGGTTAAAAAAGTTTTTGGATGACCTTTGACTAGAAAGGATACAAAATTTATTATATATTCTACCTAATAATTTTTTGCTGACTGAAAAATCTTCAAGTCAACAAAAAATATATCGGGACTATTTATTTTTTGTTAGCGTTTACCCTTAATTCTTTGAACTATTTAATTTCCTACAATGAGATCTAAGATATTCACGAGTATTCATTTAATTAAAATTAATATTTTTCGGATGTACTAGGCGTTTTTTTTATTTTTGATCATAAACAATATACTACAGACGAGATCTCGTCTGCCCGTGATCACGGTTGCTGTAAAGTGGCCGTTACGTCGGGAGTATGTAGTTTATAGTCAAAAATAAAAAACCTCGTAGTACATCCGAAAAATATTAGTTTCATTTATTTAATTTCCTATTTTTACTCCTTCTTTGTAACGTGTTTATACATTATTGTACCTTTTTAGATGACATCGAAGAATTCTCTTCACCCGAACTGCTAGAACTGGTGATTCCTTCTTCTAAAGTCAATCTGGCAGCAACTCCTTGAAGTTGCAGATCCAAGTACAATTGACCCAGTTGTTGACTCACAAGTAGAGGCTGTAACAAATAATTGCTTTTCAATACCACATTATTAAATAATCCTTACACAATATATAAATAACCCTATTTAATATAAATCCATGATCATCAGATTTCATATGTATTCAATAATTTTAAAAAATCCTAGAGGAGTCAATAGGATTTCATAGTAAAATTATAATAAAAAAATATATAATTATAATAAAATTATTGTAAAAAGAAATACAGTGTAAACTCTATATAACGACACTGAAGGGACCGTGTATTTTAGTGCGTTATAGAGAGTTGCCGTTAAATAGAAAGAAGAAAAATCAGAATTAGAAAAAGACAAAGTTTATTTCAGACTAGTGTTAGTACTTATGTACATAAAAAAGAATGTTATTCGAACGCTATTGCGTATAGTCTGTTATTTTTGTTTGACTTCTTTGCTGCACCAGTACTGTTGTTTTATTTTTTTAGTTATTTTTTTAATATCTTGCGATATTGAGGCATCTTGGTGATAAAAGAAATAATTTTCCAGTAGTTTAGCTGCTTCCAAAGCTTCTTTAATTCTCGGCGGAGGATGAGGCTCATCTATCTCATCTTCTTCATCTCCTTGCTGTTGATCCTCAGTTTTTCTCACTGAATCTAAAATTTCTTTGTCTGTGAGTGAAGCCGTTGTAAGGAGGCAGTCATCTACTTCCATGAAGGTTTCCAAAACCGTCGACACGTGTAAGCAATTTGTAATTGTAAACAAAAGAACGAATTTCTTAGAAAGTTCGGTATGTATGATAGGGACAATCGAGTTTATTGCGGGCTAGGATAACAAAGCGACTAAGGAACGTACACAGCTGCACAGTTTTTACTAATTTTAGCAACTTAAAAGGTACTTTTTATTACTTAATTGTTGTCGTTATTGAGAGTGGGTGTGCCGCTATGTAGAGTGTAACATTGTATGGTAAACAAGCTAAACCAATCAAAGTCAAATGGTTTCGACGCTTTAGAGAGTTTGTCGTTAAATCGAGTGTCGTTATATAGAGTTTACACTGTAATTGTTAAATTCCTTTTTAAATCTGAAAAAGTTTCTCAAAAATACTCATTTTGTTATTTTAATTGTGAAAACGATTTGACCTCTCCAAGACCATATATTGAAACAAAACATTTGTTTGCGAGCGCTTGAGATTTTTTAATTACTATAAATAGAACTATTTTTTGACATAAGAGAGAAAAATTTATGTTTTGGCGCTGGTGTCTCAGACTTACCAAAATTTGAATTATATATGTATAATAAAAATAAAAATGCAATAAAGTAATAAATTCTGTTGTCTGCTGCTGCTGCTGTAGTTCCAGTTTATTTCTCAACAGCTCATTCTTATCAAGCAACAAATTTAAGTATATTTGATTAAGAATTAGATAAGAAGTTGTCGTATAGTTTAAAAATACCGTTTACTAATGCAATACATATAAAGTTTTATATGTATACTACGTATGTACTTTAAAGAAAAAACATTACTATGCCTGTAATTGATTTTACGCATTATCTATTCAAACTTTATATTCTGTTTTCTAATCTTGAGTTGCTTTTGGACAAAATTTTTATTCTTTATAAAGTAACTTACAAATTCTTAATAACTTTTTGGAATTTGCCTTGAAAAACACGTTTGAGGGAATAACAGATGACGGAAATTTTTTAATCACGTGGTTTTTCATAAAGACTTCAAAGAAACGCTTTAATGCAGTAGATAAGCTAAGATAAAATTTAAATAAAACTACGACAGAACTTCCCAATAAAATAACTTTTTAAGAAATAGTTCAACAAAAATTAAAACAAACATTAAAACATAACTATTAGATTCATGTGCTTGCAAACCCTAACCAATATATATTTTTGATGTCAATATTATACAAGTATTGTTGCTAACATTGATTTATTTTCAGTTTTAGAGTAAAATTCCTAAAGTTTCAAACGAAGGCAAATAGTCCGTTATGGCGTATTATTTCGCCTTCATATATTTGACATACCTGTTCCAAAGTTTCCAGTTTCTTTTTATCCTCCGAAAGTACTTCCTCTAAACTCTTCGTCCGGATCTGATATTTGTAAATTAGTTCTGATGTTACGCAAACCTGTAACAAAATAAAAATTAATGATAACATGAGAAATGACCTCCAAATACAAGTTGGATATAATAACTTTATTTTTAAACAAAGCATAGATATTAGATTAGATACACTTCAGTATTGCTGTTCATAAGAGCCCTCCCAAGAATTTAAACCAACTAAACGTAATAAAAAATCCTGCCCATAAATAATTTAATATCCCACCCCTAACTTTTCCCCAGACTTTCAGACCAAGCAATCTAACTTCACCAGAAGAGCAGTTTTGACAAAATTACGCACTTTTTATATAAGAATACGGGTCGAATAAGAATAATAACCGGTTTTCAAACAAAGCGCACGTGAGAAAACAACACTATATTTAGAAATCGTAAGGTTTTTTAAGCTTCAGTGAAAACTATTCCAGGTTCTTATATATGGATTATACTTAAAATTAATTTTGAATATAAATCAACTAATCAATCATTGCAGTTGAACTAAAAAGTTTTATTATTTTCTATATACTGACTTCTTCAACCCACGACGGATCAACCTTTTTCTGTTGTACCTGGCCCTTGTTTGGTGTATATGTGACGGCCTCTGTAGAACTTTGCAATGACATAAGATCATCGCCCTTCTGATTTTTGTGCCAACTCTGAAATCATTTTAACATTCAAGAAATAAAAATACTTTGTAACAAATTAATTCAACGGGTAATCTTGAGGGAAACTGTCTAGACTATTAATTATTATAAATTGCAATGGAATAATTGATAACGTATGTAAAGCTGACCTTTTTGGCATCGCTATCTTCAGCACTACCAGATTCTGTTTTAAAGAAGGATGAATAAAACGACGAGAAACTTGATTCTTCGTCAGTTTTCTCAACTGTGCGACTACTGTTTGTGGCACGAGGCTTACGGTTGTCCTTATCGTTATTCACTTCTGTATTCTGTTGGTAAATATTCCTTGTTTACACATATCAAAAACTAAAACTCTAATATATATTTATATCATATAAATCGTTAAATACTGATTAATCGTAATCAATATTATAAAAGTATCAACTAAAAAAAACAACAATAAAAAATATATATCTTTTAGGCTTTCTCTTTTTTTTGTTTTTACCCAACATAACTGAAATATTAACTTTATCTTTTAAAAAATAGACCATGCCAAAGCAATAATTATTAATCTTCAATTGGTCGTTAACTTAAAGAAATAAAAACAATTTTTGGTAGGATAAGGTGTCGCTAGAGAATTTTGTGAAAGTTTTGCCATTTTTCTCTATATTTCGCCACCCAATTATTTCTTGCCATGTAAATATTTTATATGGCAAATGCTATCTAGATGGTAAAATAACTTCTTGCATAACCTCGATGTTTCCGCTACTATACTAAACTATGGTTAAGTTTGGTTGGGATTTTTCTGGGTTTTATTCAAAACATCATATGCCAGTTATATTAAGAGATAAATCTGCATGACATGCAAGGCAGCCTAGAAAAAACATTTCAAGTTGATCATTTAAAGTCTAAACGTTCGTGACTGTTCCATTTAAATTAGTATCACTTAATCTTAAAGAGTCCATATTAAATTTGTTAATTCGGTGAATAACACATTTTTGGAACCTTTTTTAAGCTTGTGATATTCCAATGGGTTCCCCATAGGCTTTTGTTCCATTAAGGGACATTGTTGATAGCTCATGACCGTATTATAAATTCGGCCATAGCTATGTGCAATATATAATATTTTAGTGACACTAAAGCCATATTTTCGGGCCTTATAAGTGGTCTAGTAAGAAACATCAATAACATTGAGATGGTGATGGTCTTAACCACCGTATTGAGACTAATGCAGTTCATAACGTCTGACTACTCTGTTCTCCCTTTTCTCTTCTTGCCTCGACCCAAATGAAGGCAAATAATATAAAGCATAATTGAGCAATCTATTAATAATAAAAAAATAAAATTAACAATAAAAATAAAAATAAAAAGCACACCACAATCATAAAGTACACAGAATCGTCAAACACAAAAATAGCCTCACAAGTTTTGTAATTCGAAATTAATAACGGTTGATAAATAAAAATAAATTAAATAAAGACAAATATAATCAATCATTATAAATGTAATGTTACTTCTAAAGTTTTATACCCGATTCGATGTGCCAGCTGAATAATTGACGCCGTCTCTTCTTAGTGCTTGATTGTTATTCTCCCTTGTGATGCGACTCGCTTTAGATGTCTTCAATGGCACAGTTAGTTTACAAGCCTGTAGTTTTTTACTATTATAACTCTTAGTTTAAATCTTATTACTATTATGAATGTGACATTTGGATGGAGGTCTATTAATTTGTTCCGCTATAACGAATGAACCAATTTGATAAAATTTTGCACATGTTATCCCATAAAAAATAAGTTCCATATGGGATATGCCGTTTATATGCCACATGTCAATAAATAGCAATAACGAATACTTAAAACAAAAAGCGATTATTTAATGAAATATGTTAGTCTGATTGTTAAGCTTCCATATTATTTCCTTTTTTTATTTAATGATAGAGATGAAATGAGTGTCTTTTTTATCTAACATAAGCACCAGATACATGTAAATGCTATGAGTGAACAATAAATGTTTAAGAAAGTCGTTAATAGTTCATTAAGTATATTTAAAGTCTGTGCAATTTTATCAACCATTCATTCATCAAAGGAATTTTTCTCGTTTTCTCTTTTTCTAATTATTGCTTAAATATAGTTTTAGTTGTTTAGTACTGTTTTTCAATAAACAAGATACTTTTAATATTCTTAATATGTAATGTCAACGCTGACAAGTGATAAATTTGTTTGTATCCTTTTAAGAATAACTAAGAATAATTTAGATTACATTTTAAATTTATTTTACAACCATTTCACATAATATATTCAAACTCTATAGGTAAGAGCTATGATAACAGCTTTGTTGCGATGACAATAGCTTCAAATTAATATTATATATATGACATTTTGTTGAATTAATTATAACTTAGGTATAAGTTATGGCATAAAAGTCTGTTTTACAATTTACATGATCCCTTTCGATGTATGTAAGCCTATATAATACTTTACAAATTTGAACTCTTAGCATTTCCATTATATAATATAAGATAAAACTACATGAGGTCTGATGTGGATGTATTAATTAATAAAAACGACAGAGTTGTGCGATTCAGCATAGTTGTGCTATTTTTATAATCAAAATAAAATAAATTAAAAATTCTATATAAATTATAAACTTATAGTGAATATCATTCGTATTAATTGGTATCGTCTAACTGAATCACACTTCCCTTCGCATAATATTTCGATAATAACTCACTTCTTGGTAGTTACTACTGGACAGTCCGAAGGGTGGTATATTATGCCCGGCCGTGGTTTGAGGCACGTACGACCTCGGGTCCACAGACGGATACATAAATGGAGATCCGTACATCGCATGACCATACATCATGTATGGCACTGAAAATAATAGTTTTATCTATAAACATATATCCCAAAAATAGTACGTAAACTGAGTTTAACTTTAACTTAAATTTATAATTCTGAGCTTATTAACAAATTATGTGTAGGGTGAAACTTATACTAATGACAGACGACAGTATTATAAACACTGCCATCTATACGTTATATACGCACTCGGTTGAGGTTGGTACGGATAATTGTTATTTGTATTTGTATTTTGGAATGAATCTGACGGCGTCTGTATAGGTTGTACGGGTACTGGAATATAGCACATCGGGTATTGACCTGAAATTAATATAAGTTATCAATATATATGTAAATATTTTTTTATCATTAAAGTATATTTAACCTCACCCGGCATAGCCATTGGTGTCATGAACGAAACTTGTGGCGGCATCCCCAATCCTTGGAGGTGACATGTGTTCATGGTGTTAGCTGCAGTGGTAGGCCACATATTAGTCACTGGAATTCAAGCGTTCAATTCACGAACATAAATTGATCTCTATTCTTCCAGTAAATGTGAAAACTGTTTAATAAAAGCCCTAAGTCTTATCAAATAGAGAATACAGGAAATGGTTTCTGGGAAAACACTGTCCACGTATAGATATTACAAAAATTAATTCGTATTAATTAAGAAGTACATCTCACCAACTGAGCTGATTGCTACTGGCTGGTTGTTTGGTACTGCTGCTTGTCGGATCGGACGAGGCGACGAACATCTGTGTTTGTGGGCGCTGGCTTCCTCAGCCTGCTTCGAGGGACGCTTCACTCCGTGGGGCTATATTAACCAGTTTGGTTTAGTATTTACAAAGATGTCTCAGTACAAATGTATGAAACAATCGAGAATATAGCCTAAGTCGCTTAAAGAATAGACAAGTGTAATCATATAAAAATGTGTATATTCTATAAATGTTAAAACATTCATCATGATTATAACATGACATTAAACTTTTTTCGAATCATAAATCCGCAACTTTATTTTTGTAAGACTTCGAAATATTCACGTTTCGCAAAGTTACAGCCACACGAAAAAATTTTGTGTAAACAACCAACAGATTGTTTTAAAAATATTATACAATGTATAGAAAATTGTAATCTGCTTTAGATTATAATTAGATAATTCAGTTAAAGCCAAATCAAGAAAAAATATATGTGGAATGGAATATGTTTCATGAATTTCATTTACCTGAGGGTCAGACAGTCCCAAAGAAGTTGGTTGAAAAGCCGCATTACATCTTGCTAAATGTTGTTTCTTCTTTTGTCTCGTTTCATTTGAGGCTTTCTCTCTATCTCCTTTACTTGAACGATTTTCACGATACATTTTTATTAGTTCTCTTTCCATTTCTGCATTGTGCCTGGGGACAGAAAACTCTGTTAGAAGATGTTTGATATTTTTATTTAATATGATATAAAAAAAAATGGTTGTGTTACAAAGTAATTATTAGGAGTTAACATTTAAGGGCTTTTGCATTGAAAGCGTTTACAATCATTTATGATGAGTCCTAGGTCCTAAACTCTGCAATAAGCGTGTATTCAAGATTAGATATTATAGATTTTTTACTGCTAACACCTTTTTTCATATTTACTTATTTAATAGCATAAGTCAAATTATGTAGAAACTTACTTGTTAAGTAATGATTCCGTCAATCGCATTGGCTGGTAGTCACAAGGACAAGAGTTTCCTATTCCAACACCACTGCATTCGGATGAACTGGTCCTATCACACTCCGTCGAAGCTTGTGCCATCGGAGATATACATTTGCTATGAAAAAAAAACATATATACCATTTAAGATCTACCTAAAACAATTTCTCTTAATTTATCCTTATCTTGTGATAGTCTTGTCAGCGTAATTCGTTAGCTTATTAGTGGTAATTGTAAAATTTTAAAGATCCGTACAGCTGAATTCGGATTTGGATATCAATTCATATATTGCCGGTATTTATGCAAATTACGGCGCTAAGTAGTAAAATTAAACTTTGTTTATTAAATATCTTTCATTTCTTTAAATAACTTTGTAATAATAAAATGGAGACCAATCAAAAAATACAAGCGAAACGGCAGAAGCTATTTATTTTGTTGATGCACAATTTACCTACTCCTACTTATTTAAATGGTCATAAAATCTTTATTATCAAACTAATGAATGAGGTAGGTGTACAAACCTCACTGAACTTTCTTCGTTTTCTTTCATTTGGATCTTATTTTCGCTATCCATTAAATAATAATCTTCGAAGCTGTATGGTTCGTGACTATCAAAATATCTGGAATATTATTAACATTACATTTATTCTTGTACCCAGATGTTTATTATGATTTTGGATGAACATATATGTACTTCAAATTATTTTCCTATAATAAACATGAATATTCTGATTCTTTCATACCTTTGAAGAGTTTCGTTGTAATTCAGTTGGTTGTAACTGACTGGTGTGTCGGTGCCTGACTTGCTGTCGCTATGGTCGTGGTGTGGTGAAATACCACCGAGCATTACAGAATCACGTTCCTGTAACCATTTTAAAATTAAGTTTATTTTACGCAAACCTTCTCGAATTCGAATTACGTTGTCTTCGTTGAATTATTATCAGGTATAAGACGCGATTTTGTTTAAAGTAAGTCATAAATAGAAACTTTTGATACAATTATTAGAAATTATATATAATAGAACATCACCGGGGCATCAGTATTGTATAGACAAAATATCATATAGCGTATGAGGTTACTGAAACCACGTTTATTATCCTATTGTATAAACCGTTTTATCACCGCGTCGGGTTAAATAGGACGTAGAATTGTTTTAATAATTGAAAATATAATGTTACCGCAATTTTAAACATGCTTTAATGGGGCAAAGTAAAATTGGGTATATTACGTAAGAAGTTGGGTCAATTTCCATATTTCTTTACTATGGAACTCATTAATTCATTTTTTTAATTACCGAGAGGTCTTTAAATCATGGTAGTTAATTAAAATCATAAAACAAGGCCATTTCAAAATCCGTCTAACGTGTTTTACTTACATAATAACTATGATCTTGATCCTGTATTTCAAGACGTAGTTCTTCTTCTATCTTAGGAGTCTCCTCCATCAGACTCTCCATGAACGAAGCCAGATCCTGGCATCTTTTGCTCATCTGCTGTTTAGCTATTTCAGCTGGTTTTGTAAGGACCTGGTTGAAAATAAACTTTTCGGTTTTAAAGTCACATAATCTTTTTATTAACTGATTACAAAAAAAAGATCATTTATTCGACCCGTATCTTATCACGTGCGTAATTTTCACATTATTTAAATTCAATTTGGAACAAAATTTGCGATTTCCTATATTTCAGTAATGTCCCCCCACTTCCCCCCACCCCTTTTATCTTAATACAGCTTCACTTAGGTTAAATAAATAAAGAAAAGACAGTAGAATTAACTAATTAACTAAATTACTATGTGTAATTATCATTATGTAATCTATGTATGTAATTACTATCCGCATGAAATATAAAACAGTTAATTGTTTATAGGAGGTATTATATTGCAAATACAAAACGTGTACGTTGTCAATTTCAATAACTACGGAAATTAGGCTAAGAGTTGAGTAATCTCATTTGCGTTCCCCACAGTTCAGACCTTTGATTACCCTAATTATTTTTCTTTACATAATTATTTTTCCTAGAATTATATCTAGCACATTAAAAGACGTAATATTAAAGTAAGAACAGGTGATTTGATTTTATTTTCATGTTATATGAATCTTCTATATATATAAAAATGGATTGCTGTTCCTTAGTCTCGCTAAAACTCGAGAATGGCTGAACCGATTTGGCTAATTTTAGTCTTGAAATACTTCTGGAAGTCCAGGGAAGGTTTAAAAGGTGAGAAAAATTGAATCATTACTGGGAAAACCATAAAAACAGCCTTTTTCTATTTCCCATACAAAAGTTTTTTTTGACATTAGATTTGACAACTAACAAATATGTCAATTCTGTTTGATTGAAACAGGAAAAACCTGATTATTTATGGCCTGTAAGACGGAATAGAGTTCGACTGATCAGCTACACCTACATATATTACTCTTGACCAAACTAACGCGGACGAAGTCGCGGGCAAAAACTAGTAAAATATATAAAAGTATGTAGTTTTACGTACCTACATATAATGTCATTCTATAATATTATAGAGTTTTAAAATCGAACATCATTGTTTAGATATAATTGTTCCGTAAACTATTCTTTCTTCACTTTTGTTCCCCATGTATAACAATAGAGTTTCATGTAACTTCTAATAATATTACTGTGAACGTTTACGAACACGACCCCAGCACGTTTATCATGTCGTATGAAGTAGACAAGGGTGGCTGGGGTGGGTTCGGTCACGTTACTCAGTACTACCGACTATCATGTAACCATATTGATATTATAAAGAAAAATCTGTCACAACATTAAAATGAATTATTAATTAACTCGAAATCAATATGAGATGTTATCATAAAAGTCTCTATTAAAATACTCATAGATTTAAAATACTCATCATATTTTTTACGGCGTTTAGAAACTATTAAAACCAGATAAATACTTAAGTAAAATTCTATCACGTAATATCAAAAAAGAGCATTGACTATAAGACTCAAAGCAAGAAAAGTTATTATAGGTACAAATTTGAAGAATAAATCATAAGTAAAAGATATTGTTATTTTGAGACGTTTTCTTAAAATAAAAAAGTACTATTTTTTTTGTCATTAAAGCTAACCTCGGTCATAACTCTAGTAATTTTTTCCCTTAGTGCAGCAGCTTTTGCCTTCTCTTCATCGGTAAATTTAAGAGTTTTTTCAGGATCAGGCACTTGGAAAACGTCTGGATTCGATGGACCCTACAAAATATTATTTATATTGAATATTTTCTAGTGACATATATCTAACAATTTAAAAAAAACTTTTATCAATATGAAATTTTACATTTAGTTCCTAAAACTACTTACCTCAACGATGTAGTGTTTACCAATAACAAATTCTAGTTTCTTTGACCAAGGATTTATGAATGACGACCATTCCGTCTCTAGTTTCAGATAATCCCCGTTCTGAGCCATCATTCTAAAAAAATACAAGATATAATAAAAGTGCCGAACATTTTCCTAATTTTTATATTCTTTTAATTATAATGAAACATTTCAAAGTCAGTGGTGGCCTAGTGGTTAAAGGGCCCGCCTCTCGTTGCCGAGGGCGCGGGTTCGATCCTGGCCCGGGCAAGTACCAATGTGGTTTTTCCGAGTCATATGTACTTTCTAAGACTATTTAGACATCACTGATTAACGTTGAATCCCAAAAGAGGGTTGATGTCAGGCAGGCGGCCGGTCGTAAAAACAAATAGCCAAAACTATTCACAACATGTAAGGCAGACCCTGGCTATAGCTGGGAAATTGCCAGGTAGAAGAAGAAGATTTCAAAGCGCGTATTAATTTCCGATTCGTACCTGTAAGGCTTCGACCGTTGAACTCCGCCTTCCTTTACAATCGTCTCGTAAATCTGTCTCAGATAACCAAGATCGCCTGGATGATACAATTGTAAGGCGTCCTTCTCAACAATATCCTGTGGCAAGTAGCCAAGGTAAGGCACCGATTCATGGTCTATGTATTCTAAACTTCCCGTAGCAGAGTGCCTTATCACGAATGGTATTGCATTGTGAATTATCTCTGCCGAAGCTGAAATAATAGATGACTGTCAGAAAAATCGTCTTTAAATAAAATTAACGTGAACTCAAGAGAAACAAACTTCCTTAAATAACTTCAAAACTTTCGAGAACATTGGAAACAAACAAACTACAAACGCTTTACTTGTTTAGGGCTTCTTGTTAAACATGGATTAATTTTGCTATATATAAAACATGTGCTATATATACAAATGTTTGCTTATTTGTCTCGTGTCAATTATAGTAACTATTTAATAAAAACTAGGAAAGTGTAATTGTTACTTACTTTTAAAAGCGGAAAAAAATGGTGTCGCCTGTATAACCAAGTATATAACCTGGCCATCTTCATCGTTGATGTTTTTGAAGAAGAACTTTAGCAGGAACGGCATAAATGAAACGGTTTTCTCTTTAATACCGAAACCAAGATTGAGACCTCTGTAACGCCGTATGCGACATACCATCGTAGAAACGTGGTTTCCTGGAACAGGAGCTGCCGAAAATGAGGAAATGTATGCATTTACAAAAGCATACATATAGACGACTACAACAACGGATCTAAAACCACTAAAAAAACAATTTTAAATTCTTTTTAAAAAGTATTAAATGATAAGACAGTATCACTATTAGGATATATTAAAGTTAACTAACAACTGATACCTCTTGCCTTAAAAAAATATATATTATGTAAGTCAGTTATAGTTTTATACAGAGGATATGATCCATACGCAATGAACATTGAAGATTTATTCAATGAAAACATAGTTATTAACCACGAAACACAATAATCCATGAATTTATAGATTTATGTATCGATGGCCAGAAAGTGTGAAAACGTTCACTGAGATTAAATAGAGCTTGTAATAGATGTTTCAAAAACAATTATTGTTAGAGTTTCAATTGATTACTTAGATTATTATTTTAGACATAACCTTCGGTGGAGATGAAAGTTTCATGAAGTCACACTTACATGAACTATGTATTAACAAAAGATGTATTCATTTGAGTTACAATATACGAATATAATAAGTATAGTGTGAATACTTCTTAACCGCTGTTTCTACAACGTCGTTACCTGTATAGATGTAGTGTTAACTATTTCCAAATTAAAGTGGCTTTAATGAATAAACGTTTAATAGGAAAAAAAAGCGTTGTTTTGTAACAAAGTTCTGACAATAATCATACCTGGTAAATGGCTGTATTATATTTTTTATTAATTTACCTTTCACACAAATAACAAGGAACTGAGGAAGCTGATGAAATCCCACATAAATATTGTATATCCTGTAAATGTATTGCTCTTAATTTATATAAAGCATTCATATCCAAACATAAAACAAAACAACAAAAAGAAATTCAATTACTATACAACATAAAATATTTTAGTCCATTAATCTAATTTTTCCTACCAATGAATAATTTGCTTTAGTAATAATTACGTAATGATTCATGGTAACAAGGAGATAAAATGATTTAATCTGACTTAAAGTGACGTTCTTTACCATATATCCTAATGGAAATTATATATTGTAACCTAAACAGTTATTCAAGGAGTAAAAGTTGTTTGTTTCGAGAAATCTTACATACAGTGTACAGTACAGTATTGTCAAAATGCTTATAGTCAGACTTCCTCTTAATAAGACGAATTTTATATTTTCTGTTTATTGAATTATTGATATCTATACCACAAATTTATAACTTAATCCTGACCGTTTTTTGATTTTCATCGATAAAACTGTGGTTGCGAAGTTAGTATGACAATGCATCTTGTGGTACATATAATAATAATAAAGATTAAAGTATCTTGAAGAGTACTCACATCACTAAAGACATAAACAAGTCTGTGTCAATATTAGCTGATCACGTTTGTTTACAAGATTGCTAAATTCTATTGAAATGAACTATATATTGTTTACATGTGACAGTGTTGATGGGATGAAACTTGTAACCATAGTTTTATGAATTAGTGCAAAACAGTAGGTAATGACTTGAAAATAATAAAAAATATTTTTACCAAAATTCTGACCATCAATGATGAAATTATCATGCCGAAAATTTTTTATACAGATATACATACCTTATATATATATATGTTATATAGTTTTACTAGATTTATGGAGTAATGAATTTAAAGGAAGAAATATAAAACAAAACAACCCTTTTACATAAAATACATTAAATTGTTTTGACATTCCTAGTGGGAAAAAGTTTAACACGCTGTCAACTAGAAAAACCTACATTGGTAGGTTGGTAGTTCCGTATAATAATTTTACTCAGACACTGATAATTTTTGAGACAACTTATTGAAATTGCCTACAAATTATAAGTACTTGGGTATCTATGCACTTAACGGGTAAGACTGTAACATAGTGCATAGACCTCTTTCGTCACGTACTTCCTAAGGTATATCACTGGTTTATCAAAAGTTTACAAACTATTCCATTGCGTTATGTGTTCATGCATAGCCAGATAAGCGTTATAACAGTGAAATGGCTCAACAGATTGCAAATTAAAAAAATTACCTTTCTCTTGCGTACCATTAACATTTTTAGGCACAGCTAGACCACTAGTGATCTGCGATGCAAAGGTGTTCCGATCCTGGAAATGGGTCATATTATAATGGACAGTAAAAAATAATTTTACAAAACTAACTATACTTATATAATATTACTGTAATATAATGAAACTATAACCAACCAGTGTAAAGTGTAAAATGCGATAGTTTTAGGATATCATTAAGTATCGACATAAATATTATTTTTAAAGCAATTGTATGTGAGTCTGTTATCGGACCACGAAAAATATTATAGCAAAAAAACATAACGAATGCAAGATTTATGTAGGTGTGTTTTAACGTAGTTGAACCAATTAAAGGAATAATATAGTATGTGGTAGACTACATGAAAGAGAGTGATAAAAGTTAAGATCATTGTTGACGAGAAGTAAGCAATTATAAAACATATCTTACCCTTGGATGAACGAAATCTATAAATGATCTGCCAATCCACATGTCCTTTGGAAAGCCAAGAGCAGTAACTATGGAGGACGTTGTGAACATGACCACACCATCTTGCATTGATATGACGCAGGAGAAGCTTTCCTGCAATTAACAAATAAGAAGTAACCCTGTGTCAACATTAATAATAATAGCCAAATAATTTATATGAAATTAATACTCACAGGACAAGACGGAGAATTTGAACGACCCGTGACTAAATTCAGCGATGTCACCATAGGCGCGTTGGACGAAACAGACTACGCCAAAAAAAATTAATAAATAAACCGTCTTATTCAAATTAAAATTTAATAATACAAAAAAAATACATAACAGTTCTCTGTACGTAAGGCCAATAATAGTTAATAGAACGAAATTATAGGATACCTCATCTTTTTCATCGGTTCTTTTTAACGTTGTTATTTCCATGTTCTCCGGACCCTTTTCGGTTTGCACCAAAGATGGAGTCGGGGTGCGGTTAACTGGATAACAAGGGTACAGAGGGAAGATAAAAATAAACCTAAATCTAAACAATTATTCATTAAATGAACTGGAAAAAGGATGTCATCTCAACCAAAAAAGCATGATCTTTACGTACCCGAAACTGGAATTCGTTCACATTACCTTACTACAATTTTTGTTGCCTGTACTACAGAGTAATATATTAATGGTATAAGATACAAATTTACATAAGCAGATCCATGGCCTTCTGTAATAATAGCAGTCGTTAGTCTAATGGAGTCGTTATGATTTAACCCCATTAAAATAATCCAATTGATATATTTTACTTGTTAAATATAAAAATTAATAACTATTACTAGCAATTATGAAAACAACAACAAATTAGAAATTTTATTTCTTATTATATAATTTGCTAATGAAAATTATCTTGTACAGTACAACAAACAAATAAAAGCAAGCTTTATATTTTTTTAAGAAAATGTCTTAGATTGAGGGTAAAATGACAGTCAAACGTACACATGACAAATTAAAACAACACGAATTTACTTTAAAAGGGAAATCAATTTGATAAATCTTATATTACAAAAGTATATTTTTTTCGCTTTTAAATTTAATTACCAAAAATTTATTTGACAAAAATATTTACTGTCTCTATGTCAGTCTATCAATTACATACTAAGACTGATTTAGGATTAGACATTACTTTTAATGTCCTGTAATTTTCTAAAAGTGGATTTTTTGCTCTTACCATCTTTAGCTTCTTCTTTAGGCGCCTCACACACAGGTGTGAGTTCTTGTGGACATTCTTCTATTTTCTCTTCAGATGGTTTCAATTCTACCTGTACAGGCTTTTTCTTTTTTGATTCCTTTTCTTTAATCCATTTTTCCGGTGGCTGACTTAAGTTATTGCTGTCAAAACAAAAATTATATTTAAAATGTACTACAAATGCAATTTAATATTCTTGATAGTATTTTATACCTGTAGCCGGAAGTCGATGGCTTGCCGCCATAACCACTGCTTCCACTTGAATTGCTTCCAGAATGTGTAGATTTGGAGCTGTGGCTAGAAAAATATACATATACATAAGCCGAATTTAATAATAAAACAAATTGGGAGGCTCTGTTTATTACCTTCTCCTCGACTGACTGTTACTGCAGCTGTTGGAATATGCGGAATCGGATATCTTAGCATTGTTCTCGGAGTCATCCAAGTTGTCCATGGCTTTAAATTTCTATGAAGAAAGATGACACATGTATTTTAACAGAACCAACTTAAATTAAAGTATAAACTAATTTTAATACTCATCGTCATAGTTTAAATTCTAAGATTATACATATAGAACATACAATGTATGTATAATCTCTACATTTCTTGCTCGAAAATTGCACATCACGGGAGAAAAGTGAGGCAGTATATTAAAAACAACTTCATTATGAAGATATAACATTTTTATTTATCCTTTTGAAGAGATATAAAGGATGAAGGAAGATATTATAATATCTAAATGCTTTTACTTTTATAAATGAAATTCTATTTCTTCCAAATGGTTCCAGTAATCAACGTCCCCTTACCATAACCCGTAGTATATTTTAAATGAAATTAAAATGTCTTTTTTAATCTCTCTTTGGGTAAAAAAAATAACAGCACTATCAAAGTTGGACTAGCGTTGAAAGAGTACATATGTGAGAAATAGTAATATAGGAAAGTATCGTATTTTTATGTTTTGGAAGCACCAATCTTAGAAAAATTACGCAATCAAGTAAGTCGCATATGCATGTTTACATTTTTAATATAAATATGATGAACATAAGAAATATACATCAACATGGAAAGAAAAGCACGAAATTTTAAAGAAAATTACAAACAATATAATACTTATACTCGCTATAGAATTTTAATTTAAAATCAAAATAAAATGTTGACAAAACAAAATTATTTTTTTAATAAATTTGTGTCATTTATTTATTTAATCATTTATAAAATCTTCTTATAAAATACATTTTTAAAAGTATTCAACTTCCATTCGTTTAATAACTCTACAGAAAATTCTAATTGTGAGTTTTAGCAAAGTTGAAAGTTATTTACAACTTTGATCTTTTGAATAATACCATGACGTAATTTACTATGACGTAATGACGTCATAGTAAATTTTTATTCAAAATAATATTATGACCTAATTGTTTGACATCATTATGAAACACGAATTATTATAACCACAGCAGACCCCAGAAAATACATATTATTCTTAACTTTAGAAAGCGATTTTCGACTTTAATACAACGGAATTCCATTGTAAAACGTTATAAGACTTTAAGCAATATAATATGTATTAAGAATAAATTACGTAAGTTTACATTGAAAAATTTGGTATATTACTTTCCCTCGTTTCATGGCAGTTATGTCAATAATATAAAGGGATATATTTTATAAAATAAAATAGACTTGGCACGAGTAACTAAAAATTCCTTAATTAGGGTTTATTCAAGACAGAGTCTTAAAAGATACGAGAGGAAAACATGGTAAATTTAAATGTCCTACCTTTACTAGTTCTAAAGACTAAAAGTGACAAAAGTTTTTGATTCAAATAAGCGACCTATTCTTTCACGTTGTTGATAACATAGTGGAACTGATTACATACTGTTATAATAATATTGTTTTATATCAGCCATGGGCAGACCTCCTCAGAGGTTGAGTATTAATTGAAGTCCCGTGGCGAATCCGCGTGACCGCGTGACTTTGTTTTGACGTACCTTACGGTCTTCAGCGTTCCATAAGTTGACATGACATGAATAGATGAACTGGTATTTTACCTTTATTTTATTTAATTGATATTGGATTTTTTAAATGTTTAATTATAAATTAATATTTTTATGAGATTGAATACTTTCATTGATACAATCATTGCAATTGAAATCATAATTTGTAAACACACCTAATGACAAATAACGTAGGTAAAATTCAGCAGGTGATGACATGTTTTATGAAATTATAATAATAAAACAAAAATTACTAATAAAATTGAAGCTGAATACTTTTTACATTGGAAGTATTCACTATAACACCATATTATTGTAAATGAATCAGAAAATCTTTATATCCGATCGCTTTTGTACATACGGAGACTGTAAACAATTTGAATCTTTATTGCTAGTCAAATAAAGACTCAATTTTGAAGAAGTATTTTAAAATGTTTTAATTGTCATAATCTGGCTTTTAATAAACGTTGCTTTTCTTTTTCAGGGAATTTGTATACACCTACTGACTATTGCTTACTTATCATGGACATTTTATTTCTTTACGTGATGTCGGTTACTTCTTCTCTATGGTGTACAATTTCATTAGTCTCACAAACAACCGGGGTCTATTGTTAGTTAATAAATAAATAAGTTCTTTAAACATCTAAAGTAGTCTTACTAGTCAAGAAATCTTCTTGAAATCCTATTACAGAAACTTATTCGGTAGTTTTTCATAACTCCTCAGTCGTCACCATGTTTTAATTTTAAATAGCAATCAAATGTTTTTACAGCATTAAATATTTAAAAGATTATTTATAGTACGTTCTCAAACACTACCATAAGACTATAAATGCATTGTCTGCAAAATTCTATGAACTTGCATTTTTTTATAGTTTTGCTTCAAATTCAGATATTATGTTATAGAAATACTGCATTAATATATTTACCTTGTTTATTTGACACAAACCCATGGATAAAGATAAATTGGATCAGCCAAAACAAACGCTTTTTGTTATGAGAGGAGCAAATACTTGTCTATTGAAATAAAACGAGCTGAGGTCTAAAATAGTCGTTTTTATATCATGGTCCATGCAGGGATATGCTTAATAATCATGATGATTATTTGATAAAATTTTTTTACTTATAACAGCATTACTAATCTATGTTCTTACATTTCAACCCTCTAACAACTTTTATATAATATATTTACCGGGAAAAAGTAAGTCAATCCAATTGATTAATCCCTTCAAACCATTAGACATTTTGTGATTAAGCTCCTACAAAGAAATGTTCAACAAATACATCCTTTTAATCTAAATTTTATTATACTTTACACATGTATGTCCTTTCAGTTGTTTATGAAGAAAAAAATTACAGTTACCAACCAATTCAAACAGTAACCTGTGACAACATTTATTAGTGACAAGATTAAATATTCCAAACCAAATGTAACTATGTTTTTAATGTAATTCAATACCTTTTGCTTTTAATATTTTAGAGAGGTTAAAAAAGTTTTAAAAAACGTTTTTTTTTTACTAAGATATTAGTAACATATATGTGCAGTAGGTTGCAAATATTAATTTGATAAAGGTCTATTGGTAACCCTGTATAAGTCATAGATTAACTAAATTTTTTTTTTAAGTTTTACGTCTTCTTCTTTAGTTAGTGGCGTTTCCTTATAGATTTCGCCAATGTCGTGTACCGATATGATACAGTATACTAAACTATGTAAAGAGGGATTTGTGAGTAAACAAGGTCGCGACTAGAAGCTAAGAGCTAAAGTTTTAAGTCCATATCAAAATTTGAAAAGATAGTGTCAAATAGTGTCGAATTCATTTAAGTATGTAATGACATTTTTATTATAAATAGAATGCAATTCGATTCTTAAAGCAACAAGGCCAAAAGACTTTCATGAATGAATCTAAACAGTTTAGGGAATATCATAATTTTTTTCTGCCAAATCACATTGTGACTTATATCCCTACAGGGTAAAAATTGAAAATGGACAATTTCAAAAACACACTATTTTAGGAGCAGAAGTATTTTAATACTACCCATACCCACATTGTGTTGAACTTTTAAATTTGCTCACAGTTTAATATACCTTTTTATCCACAGCCACAGTATTATTTTTATGCTTTTGAAAAATAAGTACATAAAGGTCATGAAAAAATGTTTGTTATGGATACCAGAATTTAAATTTAACTCAAATTTATTTTATTAAATACTATTTACCATAATCACCCAGAGCTGGATTATTATGGAGCTAATCTTATTTTGTGTGTATTACCAATGTAAATATGTATTAAACATTTCATAATAATATTGTTTTGGAAATAAAAGTAAAGTATGTATTGAAAATCAAATGTTCTTATAAACACATCCATTATACAGAGGAAAAACAATTTGAAATTACTTTTGGTAGATAAATGCTAAGTAATACCTATAAATTTATAAAATTAAAGTGGTAAACTTTTTTCTGCCTTTGAAACTACTGTTGTTGAGAATCCAGACTTACAGCAAAACATATTATGATTGAATTAAGTACGTCCTCGAAGATCCTTTACAGTTAATTGATTTCAAGGTGTAATTTTGTGGCATAGTGTATAATATTTTTTTTGTAGTTTCTGAAGTAGATTAAATCATTGTGAGAAACTTTAATAAATATGTCTGCTTAAGAATACTTTATTTCTTTCCGTAATAGATTAAAAATAATTCTTTAGTTTCCATGACCGGGAAACATCAATATATAAATGCAATTTATAAAATTTTTATTAAAAATAATATAATTCCTTATATTTCTAAATTTTTCCTTTCTTTAATCAGAATATTATATTAACATATTAAAATTTGCATACATATTATTCAGACCATATGCCTCTGCAGGATAATAAATGTGGAATATATTATATACTAAAGTAAGGCATTAAGTAAAATAATGCTATACTTGCAGTATCCTAGTAGTATACAGAACGGCTCTAGAAATCAAGAATAAATTTTATGTAAAGAGGACCTATTTGATTTTTATATGAGATGATGCTATAGAGAACAATGGTGATTTGGAGTCACCTATTTTAGAATAAACTTTCAAATATTATTTTTCTGAAAATTGGAATTAAAACCTAATAATAAACTGAGTATTAATAAAATAACAGATAAGTATTAATCAGATTTAACTGAATAAAGTATCATACCGTAACAAAATTATATTTGAATCTGATAAACAAACAAATCTTAAAAAGCAAGCAAGTGTATAAGAATAAGTAAAATTTTGCAAATGCATTTTCAGTGGGCTTGTAAGAATAATAGAGTTGTGAATTAGGCATAGCAGACTAAAATCTATGTAAAAGCAAGTTTTTCTGGAGACAAAGTTAATAAAATTTAATGGTTTAAATTTGTAATTATTGAATTTACTCAAATATTACAACCATGTATTTTAGAGTCAAAAAGATTTTTAACAGATTTTGCTACAGTCGCAATGCATTTTATTTCACAGAAACAATTATTCATAGAAGGAAATCAAGAATTTGTCATAAACAATTTTTAATTATTAAATAAACGTTTTAATAGCAGTGTAATAAAGAAAACTGTTTTCAAATGTAACATGTGAGTCTTTTAAATCTTATTTTTAAATAAACCTATAAACAACAAATTAAAATAACAATATTTTCAAAAATTGTAAAATTAATCATTGAAATTGTATAATTATTAATTGGACTAACATGATAATTGGGACATAGAATATCACATGGAATACTTTGTAAATTAAATATAGACATAAATTTAAATGAGTGAAAGAAATATGTAAGGGGTAAACTAAAAGATTTTTTTAATCATTCTTTCTTTTTCAATTACAAAATAAAGGATTAGATAATCATAATAAAATCAAATAACAAAGAATTCGCATAATATACAGCTGCAGGATGCAATCGCCAAACCCATAGTCCCAAAACTGTTTGTATACATGAAGTATTTTTGAAAATTAATGTCATTTGTAACGTCAAATAAAGTTTGAAAATAAATATGGACAATAACTTTAATTGAATCGGCATCAAATCCCCTATTATGAGGTATCGGCAAATTACCGTCTTTTTATTTAATCGAAACTTAACTTACTTGCACTTTTTAATATCCCATGTTGGCTAGAAATGCGTTCTTGAATCACTAGTATTTCAAAACCACTAAATAAAACAGAATATTCACTGAAATCTCTTTGAAAATATTTTCAATATGTTTATGATTGTAAATACACCACAATCTTATATTATTTCTAAAATAATTTAAAACACTCAGTTAAGCAAGGAGACTTCGAAGTGTATGATAAAGTATTTATTCATTGTCAACGATAACTAGTGGCGTTACTGCAAAAATATTATCGACATCGACAATATTATTTGCATGGTTAAAAAAATACTATCGTGGACTATGAAGGTAAAGTATGATATTTCATTTTACTTTATTGTAATCAATATATCTTTAAAAGAAGAATGTAGTCTTGTTTTAATTATTTTAAATATAGCGGTAGCTTTAAAACTGATTTTACATATAAAATTTTCAAAACAATATTTTTGATTGAATCTGTTTACTATAACCTAAATATTATCAACTCAGAGTTTTTAAAGGTAAAAGAATCTAAAATCATTGTTTTTTCCAATAAATTGTAACATAAAAGTACTAATTGACATTTCAATAAATTTTACCTATCTTCTTGAAAACAAACACATTTTTTATTCTTTTTTATTTTTTATTGTACTTTAGATAGAATAATAAAACGTTTTTAATTGGTCTATTCAATATTATTCTATAAATGCGACGAAAAATTAAAGGTATCACCGTTAATTTTCAAAAACACTCTTTTCAAAGATTATTATTTTACCAAGCTTCTATTTATTTTTGTTTATATATTTGAAACACTTACTAAATTTTACATCTCTTTTCCTAAATTATTATTACTATGATCTTAATTTTTTTTTAATTTTGTTATCAAAAAAAGATATATCGATAGAATGATATCATTTTAATACATCACTATAATTCACGCTTAAAGACACGTGAGCGGCCACACAAAGTGAAATAGAAATATATATGGGTCTCGGATTGTGTGCTTGAGCACGTGGATAACAATAACGTTGTCAGTGCCCTAAAATACTAAAGAGTGTTCAATCTCTTTAAATCTAGGCAGATGATGATTTTCCTTTTTTTTTGGTCTAGTGAAATACATCGTATCGTTGTTTTTAGAACTTCGATGCCAAGATGTTCTAATTGTAGGCACGTTTAAACGATGACACTGTACACGATACACTTAGTGTATAGATCGAGTGTCTGGACGAACACAAGTGTCTTAATTGAAAAATTTTGAAACCCTATATACCCTAAGGCCTTGGTACACTAAATGTCGCTTCAGCCGCTTTGTGATGGCGTTGTGTCAAAGTTGCCTGCTGTATCTTGTATGCAAATGTTTTTGAACACGTTTCAAGTATTCAATACATTAGACCGCGTTTAAGTACCTAGATAAAATGGGTTTTACTTGGAACAAGATCATTAAGAGATTCATAATTTTAGTAATTAGGACGTTTTTAAAGCTTTTTGATATTTTATTTAGTGATTATTAAGGAACAATAAGGGAGCAGGTTAAAAAGCGTTGAAAAGTTACACTTGCAGTTTGATTAGAAGTAACCTTTTGTGATAAGGAAATAAGAGGCTCAAGTACTATCCGAATTTGCCGAGGTGTCCCTCATAACTGAAAAATAACGAAGTTGATCCTAAGGTCTCTGTAGTCAAAGTCTAAAAATAACTGGTAGATTCATTGAAAGTCACCAGGTTGTTATTACTTGTTATTACATTCACAGATCAATTCTCAAAAATAAGATGTCCTTCAAATTACTTGGATCCTTAATGGCCTGATCATTCCGAGATTTGGTCCATAACTGTCTAGGAGTCGCATATTGACCAGATCCAATACAATACTTCTCGGTTGAATATATCTATGCACTACTTGCTTGTCCCTCGGGGCCCGGCCAAAAAATCTGAAGATAAAAGGACTTAACTTCTTATATTAACCGCAATTCGGCCTTAAGTAGTCTGAATGGTAAATAAATAAAGTAATACACTGTTATTTTGATATAATTCAATAGCTAATTTTAGTCGGTTAAGTGTAAAATTCTAATCTTAGTAATTTTTAAAGAAATTCATGGAAGTTCATGTCCTGTGTCTAAGGACACCTTGTTTTCATATGAAACCAGAGAAATCTCTCAGTAAAGTGCCCTTTAACGATAACGGCCAGGCATAACTCTCAATTTAAATGTAAGTATTACCAACATGTAAGAGTTCAAATATTTTTCGTCCAATCTTGTTTTTCGGTAAAGTCCAGACAACAATCTTTAGACGCTTTTATTATAAAGTAGCTGCGCCCCGCGGTTTTCCGGGGTGTAAAGTAGCCTATGTGTTATTCCTGGACGTCAGCTTCCTGTATACAAAATTTTATCAAAATCGGTTCAGCCGTTTGAGCATGAAGAAGTAACAAACATACACACACTTACAAACTTTCGCAATTATAATATTAGTAGGATATGAACATTGCTGACGTTTGTGGTAATTTACTGACTCTAGGTAGTGTATTTTAAATTAATAATTTTACCTCAGAGTATTTTGCTCCCGCCTATGAAAATACTTGAGAAAAGGGTTTTACTGACAAATTCGCAAAATTACAATTTACCTACGATCTGTTATTGATAAATATTCAAAACAATATTCACGTTCCATTCAACTTCCAGATAATTCACAGAATATTTTTATCGCATTTATAAGTTTATAGATACTACTAATATGAAAGAGTCTGGTTTGAAGGTGCAAACTACATAGTTGAAAATTGAAAAATAAGTCTAAAAATTCTAATTTCTTATAGAAAAATCGATTTGTTGTAGGGGTGAATTTAATGTTTTGGTGAAATGTCAAAAGACTTTATCTTTAGCTATCTAATAGGTATTTGTATAATTTTAAAGCTTTTACTAATTTGTTTCGTTATTATCTTAATTAACTATTTTGGTAGATCACGAGTAGGAAATAAAAAACACAATCATTTATTTATTTATTCATATTATATTGATTATAATAAACACGTATTAGAAATATTACAGTTATGACAAAAATTGAAGATATTGAAACTGCTTATAACATTGAAATTGAATAGTATGTCAAAATGTTTAGATAATGAATAGTTTATCATTTTACGCTACACACATATAAAGGAATGGTTTTAATACTTCCATTAAATATTAATATACGAAGAATTATAATATTTAAATTGTTTCGACATGGGGTTACATAATACGTTTTTTTTTAAATAGATATATTAAATAAATTTGAGTTTTTAGCCAACTGCAGCTAAAAGTAGTGTAGCAACATCTTCACGAGGAGAGCGAGCCGTGAGTTTCATAGTCACAGACCCTTGAGATGCTACCAGACGTGCACGTACCAGCATGGGTGTCCCTTCGCGCCACAAACCTCCACCACGGATTTCCTTTACAGCGTCACCTGATATGGCAGCTTTAGGTAAACCTAAATGGTCGCAGACTGCTGATGCTGCTTCATTAATATCTGACTGTGACAGTACAAAGGTATCGGAAGCTTCGGCGGCTGACGCTGCTCTTTCCCATGAAGCTTCCCAATCATCAGGTGCCACGTGAGCGCGGAACTGCTCAGCGCATCCAACATCTACTTCCTCTAAAGGATACGTGTCGGAATATCCGTCACCGCCGTCAGGCAATCCAGTAGTAGGATCGCAATCTCGAACTGAAAATTCAAGTGTAGCTCCAAAAGTACCCAAGGTTTCTATCGGGCCACGGGGGAATTCTAAGAGACAAAACACACTACCTTGTTTATCATAGGGTAGTTGCTCGCATGGAACTTCACATAGGATTTTATATCCAGGAGCTGATTCCAGGCGGACGCGGACTTTTTCTAAAAGCTGGTCGCTAAGTGTGTTCAAGCACTCAAACTGCAAAATTAAATGTCGTGCAAAGATATGTTTAACACAGCGTACACGATATTCGGTTTCTGGCTCAGTAAGGTCAATAGCTTTACATGTCTTGAACGGTGGGCCGAGTTTTTCAATGCCGGGAACCACTTTCAATTGTTCAGAATATAATTCTTCAAGAGAAACAACTGGTTGTTTACGAGTTTCAATTTGAACAGGGGCTTCTTCAGGTTCTTTGGTAGGTTCTGATGATGGAACCGACAGAATGTTAAATGGTTTATCAGGATTCAATCTAAGGTGATCATGAAGAGCTTTTTCCAAGAGAACTGGGTTTGGAGTCGGTACGTTTGTGATATAATCGCTGATTAGTTGAGGGTCATTGGAGTTCAAGATAGCGCTGAAAAATATAGCTCTGTCACGAACTTCATCATCGTCATCAAGCTGACAACGTGCTAACAATACACTAATATTTGGAAGCAGATCCTCGCAAGTAGCTCCAAAACGAGCAACTGCAGATACAGCAGCAGCTCGAACTGGGCCAGATTCCAAAATAACTCGATTGTAGATATATCTAATGTAGCGAGAAGGCTGACGAGCTTTAGGACCTTCGCGACCCAAAACATACAAAATTCTTACTGCCAGTGATGTATGTTCGCAATCTTCAATAAATTCGCAAAGATGAGCTAGACCAGTCTCTTTTGCATCTGGATTTTCTTCTATCAAGGCAATAATTGCATCGGCAATTGCAGTTTTGTACTGTACGCCACCTTCATCACGCAACATCCCAGCTAAAAATGAGGCCAGCGATTGATGCTTTCTTGGATATTTGGTACAAAGACGCCTTATGGCACGGACAACTACAATTTTAAATTCATCTGATATTTCAGACATGAAAGTTGAAATTTGCTTCATCAAGCGATCAATTGAGCTTTCTGCTCCAGTGGCAAGCAAAGTTGTCACAGCTAAAGTAGCAACAGAGCGGTTTGGATCTGAAATCAGGTTTTCCAAGTCAACAGCACAAGCTGCAACAGCATTTGGATGTTTTGTTGTTAACTTGGCTAAAGTACGAGCTCCAGCAAGGCGAAGGGTAGCCTTGGATGAACCACAGAAAATTTGTAAAACGCTCACAGCTTGGGCAAGATCTCTAGCGGACTTTCGCAAATTAACAATAGCATGAGCAGCTTCATAAACAACAATCTCGGATTTGTGACGCAAGCAACATTCTATAAATTCCAAGTATGGTTCTGATGCTTCAGTTTGATCCTCTTCTGCTAATTTGGCAGCATATCTAACTAACAGGCATAAAGCAAATGGTGATCTTAAAGGTGAACGAGATAGCTTTGTTACCAATTTCACAGTTGATAAACGATCATTCTTTCTGGCACCCGCTACTACTGCCAGGGCGTGGTATGACACCATTGCATTATCAGACATAATTGCCTCCTGAAAATAAAATTTTTTAATTTTGTAATATGTCATGTCAATTATTTTGAAGCATAAAATACAACATTTTGGTTTAATAACACTATATACTACGCTAGAAATATAAATTACAAGAAGGCTATGTTAAAAGAAATTGCATAACTATTAATAATGATGGTCAATCAGAAACTTTGGGACACATAAGACATACATATCAAATAGAATATTAAAACATTTATAGAAATTTTGTCAAAAATAAACATTGCTTTATTTGCATTATTTCAAAAACTAAGCATCAAATACTTAATAATGGCTAAGGCGTTTTGAGAATTATTTAAGACTAAACAAAACTTTCTATTTCAAATATGATACAATTCTTTATAAGATAATTTGTATGTGTGCTCATGAATACCACAGTAATATATTTACATTCATGCAGATATCAATGTTTCGCAGAGACTAATTTATGTATTAATAAATAATATATCTATAAGTAAAATAATGTACATGTACAAATGTAGCAGCAGTTTGCATAGCAATAAAATAATCCTTATTAAGCAACATATATGAATTAAAAATTATTAAAAATAAGAATTAAATAAGTAGAAATGAGTGTTGAAGACAACTGATTATAATTACCTGTGCGTCATTAACCCATCTCCTAACTAGTTCAGGAACAGTTGCAGATAGATGAAGAGCAGACACAAGAGCAGCTGAGCTAACAGCAGGGTTTTTATCCACAATGGCCTGCTTCATGTACCGTTCTATAGCTTGAAGCATAGTACTGTCAGTTATACTGCACAGTGCACGGATTGCTGCAGCTCGATACAGATCCTCCTTGCCAGTCATATCTTTGGTCAATGAGGACGTTACGATGATTACATCTTGTGCCATTGAGCTTAATTCTTTAATGCACAAATATACAAGACGACGTAAAACAACATCCTTAGATTGAAACAATTTAGTTGTCGCAAAAAATATATCGGTGGCTTCTTGAGTAGTTAGTTTCTCTCCTTGGTTGAGTAGGTATATAATTTTCGTAAGAATCTGGACACATTTTCTGGGGTTTACAGGGGTGGAGTTGAAATAACGAGCCTCTTGCAAAAGTGCAGTCTTGTCGAGATTCTGGAAGATATTTCCCCCTGTATCTTCTTCCTCCTTCTTGTCACGACGAAAGGAGCTCATAATGATCCTCTTTCAAAATAAATCCAATTGGAATAAATGTACTTGCCGGGAATACAAATCCAAGATGGCAAAACGATATGAAATATCGATTAAATTGATGATGTAAAATGACAGATACAAGTGCTACGCTGTTCGCTGTCAAACTATGATTTATCAAACTTGTCTATTATAGAGGTTACAAATTTTAATATTTACAAATAAAAACTATTCTGTGAATAATAAATACAAAAATAAGGAATCACTATTCAAAAAAATTATGCCTTCGAGAAATATATTTTGTTTTTTAATATTTACTATCATCATAAGCAACGTGATAATTTTTTTAAAACGTTAATTATAAAAAAAAACGTAGTTTTATTTATTTGGGAGTGTGAGTAAATAATAAAATACTAATACTATTTTAGTATTTATTTATTATTGATATAGTAATGTATATGTTTGATAAACAATAGAACTACAAATTTGAGTCTAGGACAACAATTAGTGAGATATAAATATTTAATTTCTTAAAAAATAATATACAAAAATAACTAATTATAAGAAAGTCTAATAATTACGTTTCTAAACGGAGTGAAAGTTGAAGTTGACACGCATAAATCAAAACCAGAGAGTTAAATATTTGTCAAAGTCAGAAAGTCACTGTCAGTCGTACTAGACATCAGCCGTCACTCGTCAGTACAACACTAAAACTAGCGGAGCTGGCACGTATGCGGTTTTCACATCCTTACATTTTATTTGGGTTACAATTTATTATGAAATTAATGAAACAAAATTTATATCACTCTCGAATTAAATGAAATGTAATATTTCGCAAAAGTAATCCAGTCAAGAATAATTGAAAGTTATGATTTAAGTTTAGTAAATATTTTTAATGTTTACGAGTAAAAATCAGAAATATTATTTAACCCTAAAATTTTTAATAGCCTGTAAATCGTTTTAATATTTTTTTTATTGATATTATTTTTTTACAACGATACCCTTCTTTCTAACTATATTGGAATAAAGAAAAAATATACTTAACACCCAAATTTACACTAATTATATGCAAAGCTGCATGTAATGAAAATCGAAAAGCCATTTGTTTTGATTAATTGGTCACTGGTTTTCGGTGTAATCATTTATAATGATTTGATACAATCGTTTTTAAAAGTTAAAGTTCACATGAAATCTGAAAAATATAATTTATTACAGTTATTTAAGAACTAGTGGACATTTTGAAAGTAAAAATTAGAGAATATCACAAATGATAAGTAATGCTCCCTTCGTAAGCAATATCTTATAATTTTATACATATACAACTTCTTTACTTCCATTATCTCACTGTAACACCTTCATATTTAAGAAATAGCAGTGTTGGCAGTTACACAGTCATGCAGACTTAAGCGGATCAAGAACAAATCTGTAACACATACCCACAGCCATTTTAGTTAAACAATATAAAGAGTTTTTTTTAACTTCTTTTAAATTTCAATTGATAAGATTTACAAATTGTTCATATATGATGAAAAATACAAGATCCAATTATATGATGACAAAAAGTTTAAAGGTTAACAAACCAAGCATTACCTGGCAATAAACATTAATGCACGTAGACTTTTGCAACGGAATTTTTCACTTAACTGTGATTAGAAGCGGTACTGGCTTCCCTGGAGGAGTGGATGGGTCGTCTAAGACCTACTTATGAAGTTTAAAAATAAATGGCCGGATGATCGATCATGCCAACGATGCCTAGCAGAAGCCGGATCTCGGTTTTAGGATAACGATGAACTGGAAGTGGTGATGAAAACATCCTGTCGCAGCCTCCTTATCCATCGAACAGTTCTTCTAATTTTTATTTAGAATCACGAGGAGTAGATACAGTCAGTCGATAGAAACTATACTTTCTGTCTAACGTCGGCTCCCTAACGGTCTCCATTTGAACAATAATAAGAAGATATAGTATATTAGCCTTAATACATAGTTGGTTACACTAACATCTTTCTCTCTTTGGCGTCTTAGATACCACGCAACCATAAAGCATATCAAACCGCCCCTCACGTCATTTTTAATTCCACAGGAGTGGCCACTTACACAGCAAAGTATCTCGCAACACCAAGGTGTTTTCTCGATGCGACGTAAAGTGTCTGCTCGCTTTCCTGAAGCCGTTGTTGTGGCTTGAGAATTGTGAAGATATTTTGACATCGAATTGAGCCTGTATTACAATACCATATTATCAAATCATATTCTTTTAGAAATACAATGTTCAGAAAGGTATGTTCATACTTCCATAAAATGTTTACTTTTAGAAATGTTTAGGGCAATGGTTAATTTTCAGTAACACAAAAAAAACTAATGGAATTCATTATCACACGACAAAGACCAGTATTTTTAAGGCTTTTATTACCTCTTTACCACAGAGGATTTTATTCAATTTATTTAATATCCTTGCAATTTTCCCAGAAACAACTTATTCTTAATGTACAGACACCACTGTATTCAATTATCGAGAGGATGTAGTTTAGGTCTTTGAAATAGGAAAGATTTTTTATGTATTTTTTAATATTATTTTGTTTGTGCATTTAAAAATTTTCCAGTGAAAGTGTCTAATTAGTTTGTGAAGCTTTACCACATGTCCGTTTGGATTGAAACATATGTTATGCTTGAAATGTTAACATTTTTCTCGTTGTTTCTATTTGTAGACTAAAATATTAAATTGTACAAGAACTTAAAAGTCCTAGGAATTACTGAAACGTATATTTCCTTAATGTCTTAACAATAGAGTAATAAAATGAATTGAAATTTTATTTTAGTTTTGAGAAACAATTAGACTGTTTAGTTTCAACTATTTTAAAGGATATCGGGGTATTTAGAAAAAGGTTTTGGATCATCCAAATCATTAGGGGATAGTTGTACTTCTTGGTAAGTTATGTAATAAGCATATTTTAGTTAAAGGAATTAAAATTTTACTTCTATCTTTTGCAAAAAAAGGATGTGAAGGGATCCATCTAAAGATAAGACGGTAGCCTTGGTGTCTTATCGAAAGGGAATACAGTCAGATTGAGTAAATATATTGATATACGTGGTATGTAAATCCAATTTGCGAATTCTCCGTAGATTGGATTGAATACATAGGATATATCAATAAATTCTTGTTTTAATAAAAATAAGTCATCTTAATGTAAGTCTAAAAAACGCTTGAAATTTTTAGGTAACAAGGTTATTATAAGTACTGAGAAAAAATCCAATCTTTTGAACTATATTCTTAACCTGCATTTCTATTACCTCAAATATTATAAATATACTTGACTCTATTATTTTATACAAAATTTAATAATATTCATAGTGTATTCATTTGATACAGTACAAACTTTTACAATTTAAATTATAAATTCCCATCTACAACGTATATGTACATATTTTGATGGTAGTAGTATTTAAAATAAATGCAGTAATTTATATTTTACATCAGCTACGATGGAATTAATATTCGAATGTTTGATCTTATGACCCTATTATTATTTCCAATATTTGAACTTCACACATTAAATTTAATAGTTCTGTTTATAAAATAGAAAGTTTGAATTTATTTCGTTTAAAATTATGTTTACTTTTTAACTGACACGTGATGCGTCTGTCACAATTTTAATAATATTAATATTAAGAATTGTGTTTTCTGTTTTAAGTTTCTTTAAGAAAAACGAACATTTTGCTGTTTTACATGTAGTAGCAGGCTTGCTTAACTATTACAGTGATTTCAATTGTTTATATAATTATTTCTTATATTAATCAATTTCTATAAAATTAAATTTGTTCTTTAAACTAAACTTGTCCATAAAACTGAATTCATTGTTGTTGAACATGCGTAAATATTTTTTTAACAAAAAAACAATATTTAGGGTTATTGGTAGATAATTTAAGTAAAATAGTGAAGCTATATAATTTTTTTTGACACAGATTGTGTTCCCAGTTTTTAAAATAAACTTTTATTTTAAAAATAAATAAAGAGACAAAAAGTTTGTTTTTCTTTTTTTATTATTTTGTTTGTGGAAATGCCATGCCTTTGGGTCGCTTTCCAGTTGTTTGAGAACGAGTAAGATGTGTGTCTAAAGGGTTTGTCAATAAAGTCGGTTATGTTGATGTTGGCGAGGGTCGGCCACGGCGTGGCGGCGATGACGATGGCGGAGCAGAAACCGCGTGCCGATGAGGTGCTCGTCCGGATCGATAGCCAACGCGGCGCTGCCATCGTTCCACTCTTCGCCAGCCGTTGTCGCTCCTCGACAAATTTCGCCATTCCGGCGATTGCTCACGCCGAGAACACACGTGACGATGCGCGGTGACCGCGCCGCTCGTGACACGCGACACAACAAAGATCATGAAAAATTAAAATCATCACTGAAAAAGGGCACCAAATCCAAAAAGAATAGGGTTATATTTGATGAGAGCGCTAATGAATTTTTTGAAGCAGATTATATTATTGTTGTTCGAGATGAATGCGGGTATTCGGACGAAGGTGAAAATGAAGAGTGTTCAGGTTGCGGAGCGTGCGATCGGTTTCAGGAGCCTGAACCTGGGGCGCTCAGTCCTCCTGAGGGTTACAAAGACATGGGACTCTTCAATCGGGATGGAACTTTACGAGAACAGGCCTGGTGGGATGCTGGTGACGTGGTTCTCGTGGGGGAGCATTCTGGGACTGTGTTCACCCCACAGCACCTGCAGCTTCTTCGTCGGTTGCAAAGAGAAAGAATGCTCCGATCTACTGTTTGTGCAGATTGTGACGCGCACTCCACGCTCCATCAACCTCACGGTGAGTCACCAACGTCCTTGCCAAGGACTTGTAGTCAATAAAAAAACGATCTAATGCTCTGCCTTGTCTTAAAATTACAATCAACATTACAGGTTGTATATGCTCTCATTCCGTGGCCGAAGACTGCGAAACCTTATGAATCCTATTCTTTCGCTAAGCTTAAGCTAATTGCTGGTAGATATTGTTTAAATCTTATTTAGAAAATATCATTTACAAAAATCAACATTATAAAAAATATAGAAAAAGCTAATGCGATTGTATACATATTATGCGAAGTTAAAATTTCAAAGTTTTTAATAATGCTAAAAGCGAAACTTTGTTTATTACTTTTCTTGTTTTAGTTTCAATTCTTCTTTAATTAAAATTAAAATGATTTACACAAAAGATAACGCCTTATTGAGAATATTCGTTTATTCACAAAGTATGCGATTCACAGAAGATTTTTCGAACACAAAATATATTTTTAAAGAAATAAAATAGTAGAAAAAATTCTTTATGACAAATAATTGCCCTAGAATTCGCACGGTAACAAATATTTTTTATAAATTCTAATACCTAGGGATAATTTCGGACATTTTACTATTTTTAGAGATACGACACGAAATTGCTTATAACTTTTAAAAAATAAAACATTACATTCCAATTAACGTTTCTCCAGACATTAAAATATATCAATTAATTTTCAACTCCGTATTTACATAATATTATACTCAATAGTCAAGCTATCGTAAAGTATATTTAGACTATATTAGGTTTTTACACAATATATAATTAGATTACTATTCATACATATATGAAACATTTTTACATTCAGAGAATATAAAATTTTCGAAATACTTTGTCTTTATTTACTCAATTGTTATAAGTGAACGTCAATCAAACATTATATTTAGGTCGAGTAATGTCACAACCGGGTAAAGCTAAACGCCCTTGAGAACAAGGATATTGTTATAAAAATTCAAATTTTTCGGACGTCGCTATTCAACCAAAGATTCCATAATTTCCCCCGAAAATAAAAGTAACGTAAAGAAAGCATATTTAAACCTATTTTTCATTTTCTGTTTAAAACAAAGAATTATACATAAAGAGTTTATTAATAAAAATAAATAATAATCAAAATCGCCAGGGTGGCGGATGAACCTATTTATTACAAAACAACCCTGTTACTTCTATTTATAATTATTAAACCAGTCTCCGCTTAAAATAAAACAATGTATTAAAATATTTTAAGAAAAGGTATGGAGATAATGGCTTATTATGATCAACAACAAAAGACCTGGTAGAGGCAGACGTACAATGTTTCATTGTCAGAGACCACGACTTGACCGAGTCGACCTTGTATGATTTTACGCCATGTGTACTGAGTTTATTCGCGCCTGACTCGCTAGAGATACGTCTGAGGCAAATGAGAAGGGCACCTAATGAAATAGACTCATCAATTAGCTTTATTGATTCAATCCGTACTTAAAAATTGTTTACGTATCAATATTTTAACAGAGCTATAAAAAAATATTTATAACTTATGTTAAAAATATATAAATTTTCAACACACGGAAACGTATTAATAAAATATAAGAGGTACATAAAACCAAAAGTTTAAAATTTAATTACTACGATTATAACTGTTTATTGTAATAGACGCCACAAAACCTTAAAACCTACACCTAAGTAGGTACTGCTTAATTTTGACATGTGACAGTTATTAATTAAATAACAAATTAATTAGTTTACTTTATCATAGTACAGAATAAACTTTGTATTTATTCTTACAAATTTTTGTTTTCAATTAATTTTTGTTCTTAATTTGTATAATATAATAACAATATTGAAGGAGAATTTATAAAGATCCTCTTCAATAAATCAGATACTTATTCAAGCTTCCAAAACAGTCTTGGAAATATAAAACAAAATACAGGGAATTACTATTTAATTAACAACTGATCAAAGAAACTATAATGTTAAATTCTGGTTTCTAGACAGGCAGTATGAAAAGAAAACTTTAACGTTCTAAGGCTCCATTTAACTTTTAACATAAAAGGTGTTTTCAATAAGTATATTACAGGAACATGAACTATAAACAATTTGCGTTAACGTAAATATAATGTTGAAATATTTAACTTATCGCTTTAAGAGGAGAATGAGAGTTCTCATTTCAAGGCTTCCAAGACTCAAATAACATTTCAAGTGATATGCTACAAGTTACATGACCGTTTGACAGTATAGAATTATCTCATGACTTTAGAAAATTCCATTTCATCAATTTATAAATACGTATAATACCCAAAGACTTCATCTAGAATTTTGAAAACGTCAAAACTAGTAAGGTCTACATACACATGAGGCAGTGGTAGGCGATGCTGGCACATTTCTCAGAGTGAGAATTATAATAATATATAGGTTTAAATCACAATCAACTATCTTAGATTAATATAATGTAAACGTAAACCAAAGCAATTTAAATTCAGATTAAACCTTAGTTACCTAAACCTTAACAAAACAAATTTATCATATGGATATTTGCAAATTTATTCTCGTTGAACATTGCCGCGTCCCTCCTCTTTAAGTTCTATTCCTGGAATGTCTGGAATATCGGGCGCACCTAAAATGACCACGTGTGTGTTTATGACACATTCTTTGATTAGAAGCTTAATAGTCATTGGATTCAAATGAAGATGTCTTTAGAAATGGGACCTTCGGCCCAGATGTAGATTTCCCTATCTAACGCGCGTTAAACGCTCACCTCCACCGTCCAAGCTCCTCTATCTACCTGAACAAATTTGAAAAGAACCTACTAGGGCTACCTTCGAAGTACGTTCCAAGAATGAATTGATGTTAGTTCCAGACGTACTAAGTACGTACTAACGTACTAAGTCTTTTAGTAGATTGTAGAGCTAAATCTCTATCTGTGATAACTCTCGCACCCACTTATACAACGTAAAATTTAAAGACGAAACTATTCTTAGTGAGTTCGTTAGCGAGCTCGTAATACTTATTGACCTTGATGGCATGGTCTTTGGGGATATTGTTTTCCCAGGGAACTGTAAGCTAAATCGCACGTTTTCATATCGTCTACCATTGATCGGGAGTCGGAGCCAATGAACGTCGGGAGTATGTAGTTTAAAATAATAAAACCGCGTAGTACATGCGAAAATATTAGTTTTATTTACATGAATCGAGAAAGTCTTAGTTATCATTAAATCCACCGGCTTATTGAATAAAGTCCGCATGGATACCAAGGCCTGGAAAACATATAATAAATTCGCTGCGTGAGGTTTCATTAACAACCAATACAACCTTAAATAATTAAATGAATGTCAGTTGTTAAGTTTTTTTTTTTGTTATTTATTTTTCTAATCAAGCAATTTGAAGTTTTCAGAATTTTAAAATATCTAGGTAGTTTGTAGAAAAATATTTGTTGTTACGTTGGCAAGATAAATAAACATATGTGACAGACATTTAACAATGACGAGTATTTTTATATTTGATAAAAAGATAATTTTTTTTGTATTCCTATCCACATTTTATTATTTATTCTCAAATTGTAATGGCTAACTTTAACAACGTTATGACTGGCCGGACTCTATATGAACTTGCAAATCAATTATCGCTGAGCTCGCTTCGTTACACCTCTACGGCCGATAACGCTATTTTCGAAAAGTCAACAGTCGAATTTCCGATGTAAATTTGCATGAAATAAAATTTTACCACGAACACAGTTCTTATTTCTTAATTAAATACGTTTTATTATTTTATTGTTAACACTTATAAAGATAATATGTCATGTGTACTTATGGACTCAATAACATTCATAGGAGGACAATTTCGAAAGCTTTCGTTGAAGTTAAATAAAACGCGTTTAGTATGCACGTATTTCGTATATACAAGTTGATTTAGCTAACAGGCACTACAGCTTCTCCTTTATAATAGGACTCTTACCTTGTTGGTGCAACAAACGGAAGCTAGTGAATTACTTACTTACTCTCGGCTCCCAGTAATATTTCGTAAAAGAGAAACTAAATTGGAGAAAATAAAACTTTTTATTTCGTAAAAATACAGCGTATTGAAGTTGTTGAAAAATAAATATATATTTTTAGTTCTTATGAAATTGCAGATTCTTTTGCGATGAAGGAGCTACATAGCGGATTTTAAAAATTCTACAGTTGATTATCGTAAATGTGGTCCAGTATACATAAGCATGGCGCATGCGCTTTCTGACGTTTATCCAACACAGAATGGACGTGTTCTGAATAAACATCCCCTTGGAGGCCTTGATTCTAGAGCGATGTCGTTGCACCCACTAAAAGAAACTCATATACGTACAGATATTGTTAATACCAAATAAATGCTTATTATTATGATCTCATTACATTGTTGTAACGGTACGTTTTTCCGTATTATGTTATTTTTTATATGTACACTTATTTCAAGAAAAGTATACTACAATTGAGAAAAAACTTTCTTGTGATAAAAAAGTAGAAGTACATAGTTTGAATATCCTACCAAAAATATCTTGTTAATTTAATTTAATTTGGAATCATAAATTTCGATATATTTTATTTTATAATTGAAACGTAATTCGTCGTTTACTTGCGAAAAGTTGACGGCAAAATCTCAATACCTAAACGTTTGAAAAACTGAATATAAAAGCGAACATTTAATTAATTATATTATTACAAATAATCTAATATTATGATTCACATCAAAATTTGTACTTATACATGATTGGAAAAAATGAAGAAAATATAAAAAAAGTTTAAAAAATTATAAACAAATTACAATTCTCTACCCAGAGAAAAGTTTTAAAAACATGAAAATTAAACACAAATGTGTCCGATATCCTAACCGTTGTTGAAACATGTATGGTATTTTCGCAATTAATAATTTCATATTCGAAACTACAAAGGCTTGCATCGGAAATCTATTTTCATACTGATGATCGTCTGATTGGCTAATTGCATAGATTACAATCAATTTAAAGCCGACACATTTAATGGCATTTC